CTGAGAGATGGAGCGTCTCCCCGCAGGGTGCCTGTGCTCTGGCGCTTTCGGAAGGAAGACGAGGCCAGGAAGACAGCACACCGTCCTGACCTACTTTTGGGGAAACTCGGCAGTCGAACGCAAAGCTCCCCGGCCTTTTTGTTCCGCTGTGACGGAGGCGCAGGGAGCTTGGAAGCCAAGCCAGGTCAGGCAGAGCCAGGAGCCTCTTCCCTCCACATTTCGACTTCTGGCAGGAACAAAACCTTTCGCTCTCCGTCTTGGAAGGGGAAGTCGGCTTGAAACAGATACAGGCACAACTTCACACCACTAAAAATGTACAGAAGACAAAATGTAGTAGTAGGAACTTGTCCAGTAGTTGAAGAAGAACAAATACAGGAGATACGGTGCATTGTTAAGAGCCCTTTCTGGTGAACAGTCAGCTCCTGAAGAACAGCCGAAATCAGTTCCGTAAGGGTACGTCGAAGGAGCCTCTCCAGAAAGGAGTTTCTGTGTTTGGGATCAGGCACCAAGAAGTGTCTCTTGGCTTTGCTCTTGCTCTCCTTGCCTCTTTCTGCTGCAGCCGTCGAGACTTCTGTGTCTGGGTCCGAGGGCCAAGGAGTGGTCTAAGCCTCCTAAGCTTGAGAGCAGTACGTGTGAAAAAGATCTTGGAGTCGAAATGCAAAGATACAGAATGGGGGACAATGAGGCCTGGCTCGAAAGCAGTACGTGTGGAAAAGATCTTGGAGTCCTCGTGGACAACAAGTTAAACATGAGCCAACAAGGTGATGTGGCGGCAAAAAAGCCAATGGGATTTTGGCCCGCATCAATAGGAGCACAGTGTCTAGATCTAGGGAAGTCATGCTCCCCATGCTCTATTCTGCTTGGTTAGACCACACCTGGAATATTGTGTCCAATTCTGGGCACCACAATTCAAGAGAGATATTGACCTGGAATGTGTCTAGAGGAGGGCGACTAAAATGATCAAGGGATCTGGAGAACAAGCCCTGTGAGGAGCGGCTTAAGGAGCTGGGCATGTTTAGCCTGAAGAAGAGAAGGCTGAGAGGAGATATGATAGCCATGTATAAATATGTGAGAGGAAGCCACAGGGAGGAGGGAGCAAGCTTGTTTTCTGCTTCCCTGGAGACTAGGACCCAAGGGAACAATGGCTTCAAACTACAAGAGAGGAGATTCCACCTGAACATGAGGAAGAACTTCCTGACTGTGAGAGCTGTTCAGCAGTGGAACTCTCTGCCCCGGAGTGTGGTGGAGGCTCCTTCTTTGGAAGCTTTGAAACAGAGGCTGGATGGCCATCTGTCAGGGGTGATTTGAATGAATGCAATATTCCTGCTTCTTGGCAGAATGGGGTTGGACTGGATGATGGCCCAGGAGGTCTCTTCCAACTCTTTGATTCTAGGATTCTGTCCTCTGCAGAGCCCTCAGGACTGGACCGTCACCCTGTGCAGCAGACCCTGCCTCGTGTCCCTGCAGAGAGTGGACCGTTCCCCCATTGGAGAGGCCCTTCCTGCTCCTACACATCTGAGACAGTCACATCTTGGAGCTTGGCATTGGCCACGGCTGCTCCAAGCGGGGCTTGGCACTCTGTGCTTCAGACTAGTCGTGCCCAGTGGTGTGTGTCGGCGCTGGGCTTTTGCTGGCACCCCAGAGTGGGATTGTTGCATTAATTCAGCTCTTTGCGGCTGCCGGGTTTCAGTTCCAGTGTCTTGAGCAGAATTGGAGACACCTTGTGCTTGAACCTGCAGCGTCACCCTTGGAGTGTATGGGAATGCCGCCTGCTGCCAGCCAAAATTTGGGAAGGCGTTCCGTTCCCAGACTCAGGGAAATCCATACATTACACAGCCCAAACAGAAATTATAATGGGTTGTTGTAGGTTTTCTGGGCTATATGGCCATGTTCTAGAGGCATTTTCTCCTGACGTTTCGCCTGCATCTATGGCAAGCATCCTCAGAGGTAGTGAGGTCTGTTGGAACTAGGAAAAGGGGGGTTATATATCTGTGGAATGACCAGGGTGGGACAAAGGACTCTTGTCTGCTGGAGCTAGGTGTGAATGTTTCAACTGACCACCTTGATTAGCATTTAATGGCGCCCCAACAGACCTCACTCCCTCTGAGGATGCTTGCCATAGATGCAGGCGAAACGTCAGGAGAAAATGCCTCTAGAACATGGCCATATAGCCTGGAAAACCTACAGCAACCCAGTGATTCTGGCCATGAAAGCCTTCGACAAAAATTATAATCTTAGTGTCTTAGACCTGTTTCTTTGCTGCACTGATTCAGAAAATTGCATTGGATAGGCCACATCCATTCTTGTTTCTCAGATGTGTGTATCATGTTTTTTCTGTGGGTGAACAGATGGTGACTGGTAGATGGCATATGCTCTGTATCTCAAAAAGTAGAACTGATGGGGGAAACGGGGGGCATTTTTGGAATCGGCAGCTCAGATGTGCCCAGATGTGCCCAGGAACAGGGCTGACACATGTGTGTTGGCCAATGGAAGACTAATTTCTTTGGCAGACCTTAACTCTTGGTGCAGTTTTGCTTTTCTGCCCCCCATTTCCTTGCAAAACACCCATTGTCCCACAGAGAAGTGTGTTGAGACTCACCTCTCGCCCAAATCAAAACATTTCAATCTGGAAACCCAAAGGAAACAGTGACGGCAAGAGGGGAAGGATGCTCAAGGCCCCGCCAATGAGTTAAAAATTGACGAATCCCCGGGTGCAGATGGTATCCGTCCAAGAGTTCCCGATACGGAAACATGTGAAAACGTTGCTCCGATTAAAATAAAATATGCAACTTGTCGCTAAATTTGGTTTCTGTAGCAGAAGACTGGGAAATGGCCAATGTGTAAAAAAGGGATCTGGGAGATAGCGGCCCAGCTTGTTTCATGTCTGTTTGGCATGAATGAAGAGAAGGTGTCATTAAAGACTCAATTGGCAAGCGGGTGGGGCGGGGGGGGGGGGGGGGGGAGTTCCAGTAGGCTTCCTCTTGCTTTTCTGTCTCCCCTTTTATCCAAGATACAGTAAAAGCAAGTCTTTAGCCTTTTTTACCTTTGCCAGCATGTGTTCTCTCCGTCTTCCTACCGTAAACTCATATATGGCACTGGTTACGCTTCACTCTACTCTGGTGTGTAGATGCCAAATACTTGTACAAGGACTGGGTTGGGAATGTGTTGTCTGTCCGAGAGCGTGGCAGTGCTCGATCTTCTGCCTGGACAAATGGCCCAGCTCCAGCATTTGCACCAGGAAAGGAACACGGGCTTGGGTTTCATGTGGCATCGGACATCTCCATGGGGACGGGTAAACAGGAATGTAAACAGGTGGCTTCAAACGCGGGAGGAGATGCCTCCATCGGGACACTTGTCGGTGTGTGGAATGGGGCCGAGGAAGAAGCCGTGAAGGGCCAAGCAGTGCAGAGGGGGTGATGGCACGTTTCTCTGGGGGGGCGCTAACATTCCTGTTATTCCGGCTGTGTCCCGGCCCCCCGTCATCCGTCCTTGGCTTTGCTTCTGATGTCGCCCTGCAGGTCCACTTGATAGAAGCCATATCACTGGCAAAGAGAACGCTATATTGTCCCTCCTTTGCATTTACAGTTTCCCCTTCCACAGATTCAGCCATCCACAGCTTGGAAATATTATTTATTTATTATTTTAAAACATTTATATTCCACCCTTCTCACCGTGAAGGGGACTCAGGGTGGAGCACAGAATATATATGGCAAACATTCAATGGCGCAACATTGCTTCTATGTATTGCCAAATCCTTTCACAGCTGGAATCACTGGAGTGTTGTGTGCTCTCCAGGCTGTACAGCTGGATCCCCTGAAGATGCCATTAGCCACAGATGCAGGGGAAACGTCAGGAGAAATTGCTGCTAGAACATGGCCAGATAGCCCAGAAACTACGCAACACACCATTAAGGTTCTAGATTGGAAACCTTGATTTTGCCTTTTGATGTGACTGATATCATGTTATCCTTTTTTTTTCTATGTAATTTTGATTATGTTGCTTGTTGTTTATGTTTTGGTTTTATTTTTCTGTAACATGTTGTCCGAGCTTGGCCCCATGTAAGCCGCTCCGAGTCTCCATTGGGGAGATGGTGGCGGGGTATAAATAAAGTTGTCGAAGGCTTTCATGGCCAGAATCACTAGGTTGTTGTAGGTTTTTTCAGGCTATAGATTTTTTCGGGCATTCTCTCCTGACGTTTCGCCTGCATCTATGGCAAGCATCTTCAGAGGTAGTGAGGATGCTTGCCATAGATGCAGGCAAAACATCAGGAGAGAATGCCTCTAGACCATGGCCATACAGCCCCAAAAAACCTACAACAACCCATAAATAAAGTTGATTATTATTATTATTATTATTATTATTATTATTATTATTATTATTGTTATTATTATAGTACACCATTGTATAGAATGGATCTTGGAGTGCATGTTAATTTTGCTATTCGTGGAAGCAAACACCAGTGGATTCCCCCCACTGTATCCAGGAAATCCCATATTTGCAATAAAAACCTAATCCTAAAAGCATCAATTACGCATAGATCAGAAGTGTCTTTTTGTGGTATTAAAGAGGCAGCCAAAGAAGTGTATTTGGTTTTGCTGAGGAGGGTGATTTTGCCATCACCATTGGCTGGAGTGGGGTGAGGGAGTGGGGCAGGCGGGCTGAGGGCCACTCTGGGGCAGGTAACTGGATGGACACTCATCCCAAAGTCCCGTGCCCTCCTGTGGCATTTGCCGGGATATAACAAAACACCAGTCTCCCACAGAGGAGGAGGCAAGAGTATGTGCCCATTCACACAGGTGGCATTGGATGGGGTGCCTAGGACCTGGTCCGTCACATCTCTGTCTTGGGCAGCTGGGCCAAAACTGTGCGCCGGGTCTTTACTGCAGCTGCAGCACATTTGGTGATAACTCCTGCCTTTATGAATGTTAGGAAAGAGCCATGTTTCACTTTGCTTCGGGACTCTCCTGTTCTTCACCCTCCCTCTTGTTCTTCCCTTCCAGGTGGCCATAAAGATCATTGATAAGACTCAGCTGGATGAGGAGAACCTCAAGAAGATATTCAGGGAAGTTCAGATCATGAAGATGCTCTGCCACCCCCACATCATCCGGCTGTATCAGGTACGGACTCCGGGCATTGGGGGGGAAGTGGTGAAGGCKGGGGAGGGTCTCACACAGGGGCTGGTGGAGCTTCCAGGCTTATGGTATGAACCCTTAGCACTATGTCCCCKAAAAGCACTTTATATRGATTTAGGGCTGSTTGMATTTCTCCATCAATGCCCCATCTCCTGCAWCTTGTCCATGCCTAGCATTATTTTCTAAACTTCAATTACATTTGGCCCAGCCATAGTTTTAAATGTGCACTGTACCTTGTTTAATGTTTATGCTATTTGTGCATGTGATTTATTTTAATTACTTTGTATTGTAGTTGTTATTGCTTGTATTGCGGGCTTGGCCTCATCTAAGCSGCACCMAGTCCCTTGGGGAGATGGTAGCGGGGTGTAAAGWWAMTATTATTATTATTATTWTTATTATTATTATTAWGGWGAGTGGATTCRCAYCGGAAGGGARGTTGTGGTTCTGCAGCCGCTTCSCTGYYATCTCTCTTGCTCGGTCTCCAGAAGCAGCAGCAGCAGTAACAGSAGGAGGAGGGATGAACTTGGAGTCACCACTGCTAGCTCCTGCCCAGTGGTGACTCCAAGTTCTGCCAGATCCACCAAGAGCCAAGTCTTTTGGCAGGAAGAGGCCTTGAGCTGGCTGCAGACTGCCCCTGGGCCCTGCCAGATGTCTCTTTCCAATGGAGCAGCCTCTGAAGCAAAGGGTCTCTGCTGTTGAGAGGCTGACTTTTGTTCCAGGGGTGTCCCTTGCTTCTGCAAAGAGGCCCAGCTCTCATCTGCTGAGTAGTTTGAGCTTCAGGAACACTAGAGATCAGAACATCTGGTCTGGAAGCCTTTCACTGGCCTTTCAAGCTGTGGAAGCACCCCTCCCATTAGTCCCACTTCTCTGCATCCAAAATGACCTGTTGCTTGCCCTGCATTGATAGTTGTCTGTCCTTGTTCAAACCTCGTAAAACGAGAGATGCAGAGGAGGTAAGCGGGTCCTTTGGAGAGGTTTTCCAAGCTGGATCTTCGCAAGCCGACTCCAGCCTGGGCGCCTTCTGCCTCCTTCTTCCCGTGGCTGTCCCCAACCGGCCTTGAGGCGAACACGCAGCCGCCGGGCGCTCTTGATTTGTCAGAAGTGGCTCTCGTCTCTCAGAGATGCAAGTCACAAAAGAGGAGCCCAATTAGCGCCGCTTCCGCTTGTCCGCCAAGGCCAAGCTCTCCTTATCTGCCCGTTTTTTGTCCTTGCTCAGGTTATGGAGACGGAGCGGATGATTTATCTGGTGACGGAGTATGCCAGCGGAGGAGAAATATTTGGTAAGTGCCTTAATGGCGTTCTTCTCATCAGACATTGTACGTAGTCAACTGCGGTCACCTCAAAATAGCTGACCCTCCTCTCTGCTTTCAATTGGGCAATGCTCTTCAGGCCCCCAAACTTCCTGTCAATCAGAGAAATTGGGAGCAAGGAAGACCTCCAAGAACCTTCTTGCCTCTCCTGATTGGAAAAGAAAGGGGGATTCTGAGGAATCATTGAAAGGCAGAAACCCTTAAGGTGCAGCAACATTTCTGGCAGTTTAAAACATTCCTTTTCAGAACGGCTGCACTTGAAGTCTTTGAGTTCTTTTGGGCTGGCCATGGCCTCCTTTGCTTTCCAGTGTCTCCAGTTGCTGCGTCTGTTTTGTCTCTGTGGGATGGTGAAGCCAAGATCCTTTTGGGGACTCCTCCTTGTAGTGAGGAGTCCCTGGAGGGATCCACAGGCAAAAGAGGGGGATTTGCTGCAGGAAAAGACAAGAGCCCCTTTGGGAAAAGCCCCTCTCCTTGTCCTGCTTTGGCAACTTTGGCACCAGGAGGAGTCTTCCGTGACTGCTAGGAGGAGATCTTTTTGGTTGGTCACACACACAAGCCCTCCTGCTCAGTGGCTAACAGCGGACTGGTTTCTGCTGCAGTCGTTGTCTGGAAAAGGAGGAGAAGGAGGAGGAAATGGAGATGGGGGAGGAGGTGGTGGAGATGGAATAGGAGGATGAGTGGAGGTGGAATTGGAAATGGAAGAGGCAGAGGAGAAGGAGGAGGAAGAGGAGGAGAAGGAGGTGGATATGGAAGAGGAGGAGGAAGGGGAAATAGAGATGGAGGGGGAAGAGGAAGAGAAGGTGGATTGGATATGAAGAGGCAGAGGAGGAGGAAAAGGAAGTGGAAATGGAGGAGGAAGGGGAAATAGAGATGGAGGAGAAGGAGGTAGAGGTGGAAGATGAAGAGGTGGAATTGGAGATGGAAAAGGTGGGGGAGGAGATTGAGGAGAAGGAGGAAGAGGAGAAGGAAATAGGAGATGGAAAAGGAGGATGAAATAGTGATGGAAGAGAAGGAGGTGGGAATGGAAGAATAGGATAAGGAGGTGGAAATGGAAATGATGGAGGAGGATGAAGAGGAGGTGGAATTGGAGATAGAAGAGGAGGAGGAGGAAGAAATAAAGGTGGAGGAGAAGGAGGAAGAGGAGAGGAAAAGGAGGTGGAAATTGAAGAGGCAGAGGAGGGAAGAGAGATGGAGGAGGAGGTGGAAATGGAAGAAAAGGATAAGGAAGTGAAAATGGAGGAGAAGGAAGAGGAGTCAAAGAAGTTGGAAATGGAGGTGGAGGAGGTGAGATTGGAAATTGAAGAGGCGGAGGAGGGAATAGATGGAGGAGAAGAAGGAAAAGGAGGTGGAAATTGAAGAGGCAGAGGAGGGAAGAGAGATGGAGGAGGAGGTGGAAATGGAAGAAGAGGATAAGGAAGTGGAAATGGAGGAGAAGGAAGAGAATTGGAAGGAGTTGGAAATGGAGATGGAGGTGGAGGTGAAATTGGAGATGGAAGAGGCGGAGGAGGGAATAGATGGAAGAGAAGAGGAGGAGAAGGAAAAGGAGGTAGAAATGGAAGAAGAGGTGGAAATAGAGTTGGAGGAGAAGGAGGAGAAGGAAAAGGAGGTGGAAATTGAAGAGACAGAGGAGGGAAGAGAGTTGGAGGAGGAGGTGGAAATGGAAGAAGAGGATAAGGAAGTGGAAATGGAGGAGAAGGAAGAGAATTGGAAGGAGTTGGAAATGGAGATGGAGGTGGAGGTGAAATTGGAGATGGAAGAGGCGGAGGAGGGAATAGATGGAAGAGAAGAGGAGGAGAAGGAAAAAGAGGTGGAAATGGAAGAAGAGGTGGAAATAGAGTTGGAGGAGAAGGGGGAAGAGGAGAAGGAAAAGGAGGTGGAAATGGAGACGGAGGTGGCCCCTGTGCTAATGAGGCCCTGTCGTTTGTCTGCTCCTGTTGAAAAAGCATAAGCTGCCCAACCTGTGGGAGTGGGGCAGAAGAGGAGGTCCCCTTCCTTCAGGCTTTAAAGCGACTTTCATTCAGTGTTCAGACTTGGATGGGAAGCCGGAGCCAGTGTGCCCCAGACTTGCTCTTTGAGAGCGAGCTGCCCTCTCTGGTTGCTGACCCAAGCGGTTGGCTCTTCTTCTTGAGGCTGGGAACCATGGCTGTGGTGTGAAGGCATGGCCCTGGCCTAGTCGTCTGGAAAGGCAGAGCACTGTTGAGCCGCTGCCAATCCAAACAGTATTTGTGTATGTGTGGCAAATGCCCAGCCTGGCCTGGCAAGGCTGCCTCCTTGGCTGAGGTCAGAGCTGGGCAGCTTCCACAAATGGTCCAAAATGCCAAAGTTGGTGCAAAGAGGGCCTCGTTCTCATGGGATGAAGAGAAAGACCATGCCGTAGAAGGGGGCAAAGGTGTGCAAACAGCCAGTCTTTTAAGAGTACACAACATTGCCGTGGTCTTGCAGGCACACTTGCCCCTTCCAGAAGGCCCTTCCGTGGGGTCATCCAAGCTGCGTGGTCCTCCGAAGGAGCCAAGTATTAATTATCGAGCGAAAGAGGAAAGTCTGCCGCAGCGAAATCAAAACACAGCTGAAGTTTTCCCATCAGGTGGTGGTTTTGCCAAAGTGCCCACTAATTAAAATGCCCAGGCACAATGGCTTTGCAGTAAATACTCATTACCCAAACCCATCAAAAGCCTTTTGCCGCTCCCGGGAAAGGCCACTTGATTTCCTTTGATGCTGCCTTACTTCCTAATGAGTTTTGATCAGGATTTGAGCAATCCCGTTTCTTTCTCCCCCACAATTAAATGCCATTTATTGGAAAAGCTGCTCAGGGCAGGCGGGTGGTGTTGTGAGGCTTGTGAGGAGGCGCCTGAGATCGTGGTCCAGTTCCCAGGTGCTCAGAGACAAAGCCAGGTGAACTCCGGAGAGAGAACCGGCTATTTATTTATCAAGTCATCAGCAACCAGTCAATTATATTACATTTCTAACAGAACAAAGCAAACAAACAGACAAAATACAAAAGTACAAAATACAGAATACAACATTTGTGAGTTTGGTAGTTGATTAGATGTCCTTTGACCAGAATCTGGCCCCTTGGGGTGCCTCTGGTGTTGCCGCAAGAAGGTCCTCCCTTGTGCATCATGTGGCAGGGCTCAGGGAGCATTGCAGCAGGTGGTCAGTGGTTGGCTCCTGTCCACACTCACATGTCAAGGATTCCACTTTGTAGCCCCATTTCTGAAGGTTGGCTCTGCATCTTGTGGTGCCCGAGCACAGTCTGTTCAGTGCCTTCCAAGTCGCCCAGCCTTCTGTGTGGCCAGGGGGGAGTCTCCCATCTGGTATCACCCACGGATTGAGGTGCTGGGTTTGGGCCTGCCACTTTTGGACTCTTGCTTGCTGAGGTGTTCCAGTGAGTGTCTCTGTAGATCTAAGAAAACTATGTCGTGCTGGCTGATACCCAAACAAGGGATGAGCTGGAGATGTCTCTGCCTTGGTCCTTTCACTATTGGCTGCTCCTTCCCGGCGGATGTCAGGTGGTGCAATACCGGCTAAGCAGTGTAATTTCTCCAGTGGTGTAGGGTGCAGACACCCCGTGATAATGCGGCATGTCTCATTAAGAGCCACATCCACTGTTTTGGTGTGGTGAGATGTGCTCCACACTGGGCATGCATACTCAGCAGCAGAGTAGCACTGGCTGGGACCCCAAAAGATGCTGCGTCTTAAGGACTGGCGATGGACCATTTTGGGCTGCCCTCTGGACCGGCGACTCATACGATTGCCTTGTTCCCACAAGACCCTTTGAGCCCTAGATCCAAGGCTTAACTTTGCTGTTCTGAGCAGGTTCTTCTCCAGACCAGCCAGCCTGGACTCTTTCTGTCTCAGTCAACTTGATATTATTATTATTATTATTATTATTATTATTATTATTATTATACTATTATTATTATTATTATTATTATTATTAGTATTATTCTGGAGCCCCCGGTGGCGCAGTGGGTTAAAGCCCTGTGCCGGCAGGACTGAAGACCCGACAGGTCGCAGGTTCGAATCCGGGGAGAGGCGGATGAGCTCCCTCTATCAGCTCCAGCTCCTCATGCGGGGACATGAGAGAAGCCTCCCACAAGGATGATAAAAACATCAAATCATCCAGGCGTCCCCTGGGCAACGTCCTTGCAGACGGCCAATTCTCTCACACCAGAAGCGAATTGCAGTTTCTCAAGTCGCTCCTGACACGACAAAAAAAAAAAGAAAAATTATTATTATTATTATTAAACTTCAGCAGTGGAACTGTCTGCCCCGGAGTGTGGTGGAGGCTCCTTCTATGGAGGCTTTGAAACAGAGGCCAGATGGCCATCTGTCGGGGGTGCTTTGAATGCGATTTTCCAGCTTCTTGGCAGAATGGGGTTGGACTGATGGCCCATAAGGTCTCTTCCAACTCTAGGATTCTATGATTCTATGACTGTGAGAGCTGTTCAGCAGTGGAACTCTCTGCCCCGGAGTGTGGTGGAGGCTCCTTCTTTGGAGGCTTTGAAACAGAGGCTGGATGGCCATCTGTCAGGGGTGATTTGAATGCAATATTCCTGCTTCTTGGCAGAATGGGGTTGGACTGGATGGCCCACCAGGTCTCTTCCAACTCTGTGATTCTATGATTTTTAAACAGAATTGCAGGCGTATCTTACATATTTTTGCCGTTGTTGGGACTGCAATGAAAGTGCGTCTTACAATCGACAACTGGAGACACAAGGTCAGGATTCCGCCTCCCTTCTGTTTGAGCCAGATGAAGATAGATAGCATGGGGTCCCACCAAGGGGTCTCTCGCTGGCCTTTGGAGCTGCCGTCCTTCGGGAAGCCTCCTCAACGGCACAAGGTCACGTGGCTAACAACCAACCACCTTTGGCTCAGCTCCTTGTTCTGTTGGGATGAGGAGGCCGGAGCCAAGAGCGTCTGCCAGGGGAAGCTGCCAGCTCTGGACACAAAGCGGCCTGGCTTGGCTCCTGCCTCCGTCCTCAGTGTAAAGCCTGGGCAGCCAAGGAGGCCCCCCACCCACCTGGCCACTTAACCGGAGCCTCACCCGGGAGCCTTCCTCCTTTGCACCAGGTCTGCCTGCATCTGCGTGCCAACTTGGCTCCACATCCTTGGTCCTCCTCAGGCCTCTTTCCCTTCCAGCTTCCCATAGTTGGGCTTCTTTTACATTGCATCCATTGCAGCACCACTTTCCATGCCTGGCAGCCTCTTGCGACACCTCTGGGGACCTCATCCCATGACGGGTGGGAAAGCAGAGGGGGTCGTCCTCTTCTCCAGGGTTCCATTCCATTTGTAAGGAAAACTGATAATAATATATTAATGTATTGTCGAAGGCTTTCATGGCCGGAATCACTCAGTTCTTGTGGGTTTTTTCGGGCTATATGGCCATGTTCTAGAGGCATTTCTCCTGACGTTTCGCCTGCATCTATGGCAAGCTTCCTCAGAGGTGAGGTCTGCTGGAGCTAGGAAAAAGGGGTTTATATATCTGTGGAATGACCAGGGTGAGACAAAAGACTTTTGTAAGTGGGCTAGGTGTGAATCTTTTCAACTGACCACCTTGATTAGCATACAATGGGCTGACTGTGCCTGGAGCAAACTCTTCTTGAAAGGTGATTAAATGTCCCTGCCTGTTTTTCTCTCTGCTGTTTTAATTTTAGAATTTTTTAATACTGGTAGCCAGATTTTGTTCATTTTCATGGTTTCTTCCTTTCTGTTGAAATTGTCCACATGTTTTGTGGATTTCAATGGCTTCTCTGTGTAGCCTGACATGGTGGTTGTGAGAGTGGTCCAGCATTTTTGTGTTCTCAAATAACATGCTGTGTCCAGGCTGGTTCATCAGGTGCTCTGCTATGGCTGACTTCTCTGGTTGAAGTAGTCTGCAGTGCCTTTCATGTTCCTTGATTCGTGTCTGGGCAATGCTGCGTTTGGTGGTCCCTATGTAGACTTGTCCACAGCTGCATGGTATACGGTAGACTCCTGCAGAGGTGAGAGGATCCCTCTTGTCCTTTGCTGAACGTAGCATTTGTTGGATTTTCTTGGTGGGTTTGTAGATTGTTTGTATGTTGTGTTTCCTCATCAGCTTCCCTATGCAATCAGTGGTTCCCTTGATGTATGGCAGGAACACTTTTCCTCTGGGTGGATCTTCATCTTTACTCTCGTGGCTTGTTCTTGGTCTTGCAGCTCTTCTGATGTCTGAGGTGGAGTATCCATTGGCCTGGAGAGCCCAGTTGAGGTGGTTCAGTTCATCTTGGAGGAGGAGGTGGGGTTCGCAGATTCTTTTTGCACGGTCTGCCAAGGCTTGAATGGGGCTTCTTTTTTGACTTGGGTGATGGTTGGAGTTTTGATGTAGATATCTATCAGTGTGTGCGGGTTTTCTGTAGACGGTGTGACCCAATTGTTGATCTGCATCTTCAGACCTCACTACCTCTGAGGATGCTTGCCATAGATGCAGGCGAAATGTCAGGAGAAAATGCCTCTAGAACATGGCCATATAGTCCGGCAAACCTACAACAACTCTAACAGAACTCTCAAAATTTCATTATAAATGGCAGTTCCTAATTGGTTCTATCATAAAAAATCACCAATAATTAAATAATAATTAAATTTTGAAAGTAAGTCCTAGAGATGGAAGAGACCTTGTTGGCCATCCAGTCCAACCCCATTCTGCCAAGAAGCAGGGAAATCTCATTTAAAGCACCCCCGACAGATGGCCATCCAGCCTCTTTTTCAAAGCCTCCAAAGAAGGAGCCTCCACCACACTCCGGGGCAGAGAGTTCCACTGCTGAACAGCTCTCACAGTCAGGAAGTTCTTCCTCGTGTTCAGGTGGAATCTCCATTCTTTCGTGTAGCTTGAAGCCATTCCTCCATTGCGTCCTAGTCTCCAGGGCAGCAGAAAACATGTCCAAAAGGCCTTCAGCTTGGGCCAAGGTGAAGCTCGTTGGTGGGACCGGATGCATCTACCACTAGCCTTGAGGATGGGAGTCTGGATGAGAAAGCTAACACTCGACTAAAGGGGAAATGTAGAGACACCTGTGGCTGTTCCGTCCTCTTCTGACCTAGAGCATTTCAGTAGCAACATCAGGGTGGCTTTCTTGTCCTTCCCAACGATGCTATTCTGGGCTCGTCTTGGCCGGCAGTCGTGCTGCTATCTCTTTGTGTTGTTTCCTGACCAGGAGCCGATCCCAGCAGAGAGAGCCTTGCAAGTCCCACTGTCAGCTATGAGGACAAGTAACCAACCTGTCTCTCCTCCCTCCCTCCTTCCTTTCTTTCCCGGACTTCTTCCATTCAGATCACTTGGTGGCCCACGGGCGCATGGCCGAAAAAGAGGCCCGGAAGAAGTTCAAGCAGATCGTGGCCGCCGTGCACTTCTGCCACTGCCGCAACATCGTCCACAGGGATCTCAAGGCTGAGAACCTGCTCCTGGATGCCAACCTGAACATCAAAATCGCAGGTCCCACATTGTTTACGTTTATTTATTTATTTCATTTATTTACAGTATTTATATGCCGCCTTTCTCACCCTGCAGGGGACTCAGGGCGGATTACAATGCACATATACATGGCAAACATTCAATGCCATTAGACATACCACACACGCACACACACACACACACACACACAGACAGATAGATAGATAATTTACGACATTTATATGCTGCCCTTCTCACTCTCAAGGGGATATACATGGCAAACATTCAATGCCATTAGACATACAAAACACACTCTCACACACACACATATATATTATGACATTTATATGCCGCCCTTCTCACCCCTAAGGGGACTCAGAACAGCTTACAAGATATATATATATATATATATATATATATATATATATATATATATATACACACACACACACACACACACACACACACACACACATACACACACACACACACATATACACATAGACTTAGAGTGGCTTACACATATACATATACACACACACACACACATAGCATAGTACAATATCAGTATTATGTATTACTTTATTGTACTATATCTTTATATTGTTATATTATTAGTAATATTACATGTAATATAAAATATATAATTATAATATCATATTATTATTAGTAGTATTATATTGTATTACATTATAATATTATAAATATATGTATCGATATAAATAAAAATGTCATGTTCGTTTGTGGGATTAACATAACTCAAAAACCACTGGGCGAATTGACACCAAATTTGGACACAAGACATCTCTCAGGCCAACGAGTGACCATCACTCATGAAAAACACAGCAGAAGAGACTTAAAAAGCCAAAAAATAAATAAATAATACATTACAATGCATGCACAAAACCACATATATACACAAACACACACACACACACATATATATATACAGATACACAAATATATGCACACAAAACACATATACACAGACTGGGCCACAGCAACATGTGGCAGGGGATGACTAGTATACAAAATATTATATTACGTTATATTATATTATATAGACAGGCACAGAAGCAGTTTAACGTTCCACCTTTCTGGCTTCTTGAGGGTATGCTTGATTCCGGGCACAGGGGGAGCTGCTGCTTCACCCTCCACTTTGTGATCCCCAAGTCCTTGATGGAGTACTTCCTCATTCTTACACACACTTCTGGAAGGTTTTATGGTGTTGTAAATTAGTTAAATTAGCCTCCTCGTATAAAGTGGTACCTAAATTTCCTACTTGACAGATGCAACTGTCTTTCGGGCTGCATAGGTCAACAGCAAGCTAGACTATTAATGGTCAGGAGCTCACTCCAACCTGGGCTGGCTTCGAACTCATGACCTCTGGGTTAATAGTGATTTAATGCAGCTGGCTACTAACTAGCTGCGCCACAGCCCAGTCCTTTCATTGGTGGGGAATTGTTGGACACCCTCCGCCGGGTGTTGTATAAGCTAATTGTGAACCCATTCCTTATATCATTTCAGATTTTGGATTCAGTAATAAATTCACTCCGGGGCAGCTGCTGAAGACCTGGTGTGGGAGCCCGCCGTACGCAGCTCCGGAGCTTTTTGAGGGGAAGGAGTATGACGGGCCAAAGGTGGACATCTGGGTACGTGATGAAGATGAGCATCAGTGTCCTCTTACTTTGACAGTCCAGTGTTTTGGACTCCAACTCCCACCATTCCTAACAGCCTCAGGCCCTTTCCTTTTCCCCCTCAGCCGCTTAAGCGGCTGAGGGGGAAAAGGAAAGGGCCTGAGGCTGTTAGGAATGGTGGGAGTTGGAGTCCAAAACACCTGGAGAGAGGGTCCAAGTTGGCCCATGCTTGGTTTATTTATTTTATATATTTATTTATGACATTTTTATGCCGCCCTTCTCACCCCGAAGGGGACTCAGAGCAGCTTACAAGTAATATGTAAATACGATATATAATATTATTCCCATCGCACAATATAAGTATTATATATTACGATATTGTACTATACCATTATACTGTAATATTACTAGTATTGCATCTAATATAAAATATATAATTATAATAACATATTATTATTAGTAGTATTATATTGTAATACATTATAATATTTTCCCCCTTTCATGAGAATTTATTAATTAGAAAAAGAAATTAGGCACCTGCAGTTTACTATGTGGGTAACAGAAATAACAGTGTTAAAACACATTGCTTTTGGAATACAATTACCAGTGTCATTACTTTCAAAGAATAGTAAGAGTAGAAGTGTTATTAATTTACATTAAAAACAATCAGATAATAAAGCCATAACAAAATCAATAAAAACACAAACATTAGGGTCTCCTGTTAATTTCTGGTATTGCAGTTGACCCTTCTGGGGAGTGCTTTTACCTAATCATAGTGTGGTTGTTTATATATCCAAAGTGTTTCTGGCTTAAGTGTGAATAATTCTGAATTTTACTTTATTTTTTACCATGCAAGAACATATTATGTAGTATTTTAAGGGGGCATGTTGCCACTGATGTTTGCAGTGTTTTAATGATTTACGTAGTATTTTAATGGTTTAATTCATGTTGTATCTTATGATCTGGTTTTTATATATTTACTTATTTGTCCCCTATGGGAAAGGCCTATTGGACTAATCCAGGAGTCCTCAAATTTTTTAAACAGAGGGCCAGGTCACGGTCCCTCAAACTGCTGGAGGGCTGGATTATAATTTGAAGAAAAAAAAAAGAATGAATTCCTATGCACGCTGCACATATCTTATTTGTAGTGCAAAAACACTTCAAAACAATACAGTAATTAAAATGAAGAACAATTTTAACAAATATAAACATTACTATTTCAGTGGGAAGTGTGGGTTTGCTTTTGGTTGATTAGGATTGTTGTTGTTGTTGTGTGCTTTCAAATAGTTTCAGACTTAGAGTGACCCTGAGTGAGGGCCGGGTAATTGACCTTGGAGGGCCGTATCTGGCCCTCAGGCCTTAGTTTGAGGACCCCAGGTCTAAGCATTGCATCAATACCACACCACTAGGGAGGGGAGGAGGCCCACCAGAGCTGGGTGTTGGCCTGACCGTGTGTGCGCTTCCTTCCCCACAGAGCCTTGGCGTGGTGCTCTACGTCCTGGTCTGTGGGGCCTTGCCCTTTGACGGGAGCACGCTGCAGAACCTGCGGGCGAGGGTCCTGAGCGGGAAGTTCCGCATTCCGTTCTTCATGTCCACAGGTAAGGGTCCACCAGTAAGGGGGTCTCCTCGGCCAAGCCAACCATGTCTGGCTGGCATTAGCAGCTCCCTTCCCTGTTGTGTGCAAGGGTCCCGGTATCAGGGCTGAGATGGATGTACACAAAAGCAAGATAAGTCCAACGCCATGTTTGGTTGATAAAGAAAATGGAAGTCTTAAGTCTTACAAGGTCCAGTTAAGACTACAGAAACATAAACTGATAACGAGAATGAGAAGGTGCTGTTGGGCGAGTGGGCTTATTAACAAAAGACCCTCCCCATAAATGTACAGCAGAGTAACTTACTAGCAGCAGTGTGACCCTGCACCAGGAGCCCAAAGTGACCAAAACAACAAAAAAACACGCAAAGCAATGTTATCTCTTTCATAAGAGGCTTTTCTTTGTAGTAAAATAATATGGTTGCACTATTTACAAGAACAAGGTTTCTATAACACAAATCAAGTTCTTTATATTTCCTTCTTTGCTTCCACGCTGGGCTTTTTACTCATGCAGATAAACAGCTTTGCTCTCACAGAGCCTCCCTTCACAATGAACTTATACTGGAGCTTCACACAGTACCGTTTTACATATGACATATGGAGCTTCACACAGAAGCTTTACACACCGAAGCTTTTCTTCTCACACTCTGAGGTCTTCTCACAGGCTAAGGCCTACCTCACACAGAGGCTTCTCTCACAGACTAAGGCCTACCTCACACTGTGAGGCCTTCTCTCAGACTAAGTTACCTAGTTAATTTTTAATATTTCTGACAGATGCCATATCAAAAAGACAAGCCAAAGAGTACAGAGTCAGGTCAGGGTCAACCACAAGCAATCCCCAGGGTCACACAGTCCAGTAGTCAAAACACCAGGAGTTCAGTTTTCAGGGTCTGCAAGTCAAAGGCCAGGAATCCAAACCAAAGCCAGAGTCGAAAGTCCGTAAGTGGAAAGCCAGGAATGCAGTTGTCTTGGTCTGTATGTCAAAGTCAGGAATGCAGAGGCCAAAGATCCAGGACGAGGACACAACTTCACAGAGGCTCCTTCATTTGGAGGTCTCAGCTGAAGCTCCTCTCACCCAGCCTCCATCTTCATCACTGGAGCCTGTGGTCCATGTCCAGATGCTGAGTAACCCTTCCTGATCTTGCTGGAAATACTGGGAAGAGCCCTCCTCTGCTGGAAACCCGTGCAGCCAAGCCAAGCCAGAGAGATTGCTGGCCATGGCAAGCACGACCTTGTTTTGGCCCTTTGTGGATGCCGAAGCAACACGGGAATGGCTTCTCTGCCTGCCTTGGGCTGGCACTCTTTACTGAAGTCTTCAAAGGCTCTCCACAAAACCAGCGCTTTCCCATTTCTGCTCTCTTTCCTTGCTGACCCCTTGAATCTGCAAGATCAGGGCTTTTGTTATTTATTTTATTTTATTTTATTTACTATATTTATATACCGCCCCTCTCAGCCCTCAGGCGACTCGAGGCGGTTTACAAGGCAAAATTCAATGCCACAAGCAAGTCCATTTGAAAAACATTAACATAAAATCCTAATAACAGCAATAAAACATACGTCATTAGGAAATCCATATTAAAACATTGTCCAGTCCCATCATCTGGTTGTTCTATTACCGTACATCCACTACTCTGTATTTGCAAAAGCTTCCTCAAAAAGCCATGTCTTAAGGGTTTTTTTTGAAATGTTAAAAGGGAAGAAGCTGTTCTGATATCTCTGGGGAGGGTGTTCCATAGCCGAGGGGCCACCACCGAGAACGCCTTGTCTCTCGTCCCCGCCAGACGTACTTGTGACGAAGGCGGGACCGAGAGCAGGGCCTCCCTGGACAATCTTAAAGTCCTCGATGGTTCATAAGGGGAGATGCATTTGGAGCCCACCCCCCCAGCAGCAGTCAGAATGTGCACCCCTCCAAATGCTTTTCAGGGGTCATTTCCCCATGTTTGTGGGGTTGGAGAAGCCTATGAAAGGCGTCCCAAAGCCCTCCTGGTACTTCTGGTGGCATCCATCTTTGCTGCTGCTGCTGCTGTGATCAGGGGGCTGCCTTCTAAGTGGAGGAAGATTAATTTCCAGCCCACTGCAGAGCGGCGTAGGAGTAACTGCCAGCTTCCTGCCGGCGCTTTTTAATCAGAACTCATTGTGACTTAATGGCGGGTGATGCAGCGCCAGGCTGTGATCAATCAGGTAGGAAGCGGCAGCTCCACCGCCCTGGGAGGGAACAGCCAGGCTCTAGTGAGAGGAGCCAAAATGGGGTCCAGGTGAGGTTTGTGTGTGTGTATATGTGTGGAGGGGGGTGTTGAGGGGCTCATGGAGATGTCTCCCCTTCTCAGCCACTTCCACATGCCAATAGCCGTGAGCAAATCTGGCTTTGAGGCAGGGCAAGGGCTGAACTGGCACACAGTTAAACTTTGCAGAATTGGATGAAGTATTTATTTATTTATTTATTTATTTATTTAGAGCTTTTATAGCCCGGTCTTCTCGATCTCCGAAGAGGGACTCAGGCCGGTTCACAACAAGAGATTCATAAACAATAGTATAAAAACATCACACTTCATAATACACTAATCCATAAAATACATTAAAATACAAACATATAATTACATAAGGCCAGGTCGTCAGAATGAAATCACAATTCAACACCATCCGTCCGTGTGGTCAAGAGTTATTGACTCACTCATCAAATGCTATATTCCAAAGCCAAGTTTTCACCAGCTTTCTAAAAGTCAGGAGAGAAGGGGCAGTTCTAATCTCCAGTGGGAGGGAGTTCCAGAGCCGAGGGGCCACCACCAAGAAGGCCCTGTCCCTCATCCCCACCAGACGCGATTGCGAGGGTGGTGGGACCGAGAGCAGGGCCCCTCCGGAAGATCTTAACAACCTTGATGGTTCATAGGGAAGAATCCGTTCGGACAGGTAAACTGGGCTGTAGTTGTTTAGGGATTTATAGGTCAACACCAGCACTTTGAATTGTGCTCGGAAGCTAATTGGCAGTCAGTGGAGCTAGTGAAGTAAGCAGGTGGTCTGCCCTGTTTTTGTGCCTGGGGCCAGCAGTGGCCCTGCTCCAAATCCTCCCAAACAGGAGGAGCCCAGGCAACCCGAGATCCCGCTTTATCACTCTCCAAAAGTATAAGTCCAGCTGTTTCCCAGTGAGCAGGTCCTTCAGGACTTGACTGTTATCTCTATTGTTTTTGGCTTTGTTGCTACCTCTCCAACACGGAAATAATGTGTGCCATGTGTGTTTGCACTTGGTGCTTTTGCTAGGATGTCCCCAAAGGTCAGGTCTCAGCGGTGGTCAGGGGAGCTTTTGCACAATTAAAACTTGTGCGCCAACTGCGCCCGTACCTTGGGAAGTCTGATTTGGCCACGGTGGTCCACGCTCTGGTTACATCCCGTATAGACTACTGCAACGCTCTCTACGTGGGGTTGCCTCTGAAGACTGCCCGGAAGCTGCAATTAGTCCAACGAGCGGCGGCCAGATTACTAACAGGAGCGGGGTACAGGGAGCATACTACTCCTCTGTTGCGCCAGCTCCACTGGCTGCCAATCAGTTTCCGAGCACAATTCCAAGTGCTGGTGCTGACCTATAAATCCCTAAACGACTCCAGCCCAGTTTACCTGTCTGAACGGATTCTTCCCTATGAACCATCAAGATTGTTAAGACCTTCAGGAGGGGCCCTGCTCTTGGTCCCAACACCCTCGCAATCGCGTCTGGTGGGGATGAGGGACAGGGCCTTCTCCGTGGTGGCCCCTCGGCTCTGGAACTCTCTCCCATTGGAGATTAGAACTGCCCCTTCCCTCCTGACCTTTAGAAAGTTGGTGAAAACCTGGCTCTGGAACCTGGCATTTGATGAATGAGTCAATAACCCTTGACCACACGGATGGATGGTGATGAATTCTGATTTTATTCTGACGACTTGGCCATATGTAATTATATGATTGTATTTTAATGTGTTTTATATTAGAGTTTTATAGGATGTGATGTTTTAACTATTGTGTATGAACTGCTCTGTTGTAAACCGGCCTGAGTCCCTCATCGGAGGTGAGAAGACCGGTATATAAAAGTTCTAAATGAATGAATGAATGAATGAATGAATGAATAATAAAGGGTTTGACCTTGGGAAGCCAACCACCAGTGAACAGTTTTTGGATTTGTAGGGCACCCTGGGGCATGACAAGTGCACTCTTTGGGAACAGAGCTGCTTTGCTTCCTTGTGTTCTCCTGTTTGAGATGCAGCCAGATGTCATAATTAAGGGCCAGGAGGTGCCAGGCTTGGACCAAATGCCCCACGGCAACGTTGTGGAGGAGAGCCCTTGTGGGTGGTGCTGCGGGGAGGGGGAAGCACCCAGAAGGGAAGGGCTGGGGGCTGCGATGCCTCAGTGTCCCCCTCCGGCCGCTGTCTTGCAGAGTGTGAGCACTTGATCCGCCACATGTTGGTGCTGGAGCCCAGTCGGCGGCTCTCCATGGAGCAGATCTGCAAGCACAAGTGGATGAAGCTCGGGGAGGTGGACGCGGAGTTCGACACGGTGAGCGAGGTCGCAAACAGGGCACATGGTCACACACTCTGAGACCTATTCTCCCACTGAGGTATTCTTTCACACTGAGAGCTCTCTCAGACACGTTCCTCCCAATTTGCCACCGGATGTTGCTTGGTCCCCACTTCCTCCTCTCATGACCCATCACAACGAGCAGGTCAGGAGTCATCATCGCTTCTGTACTTCCCTTGTGCATGCTTGACTGGAAATATAATCCCCAGGCTTTGGGAAGTGTCCAGGAAAGCAGAGGTTTTAAAGATTTGGTGGGGTATCTTAGAAAGACAGGGTTTGTTAGGTGTCAAAACATGGGGCTGAGGTTCCCATCTGCTCCACAGCCTCCAAACCCCTTTGTCTTCCTTCCCTTTGGGGGGCAAGTGGCCGCCACTGAGACTTTTTGCACTTTCCAGTTAATAGCCGAGTGTCAGCACCTGAAGGTTGAGCGACAGATGGAGCCCCTGAACGAGGAGGTGCTGCTGGCCATGGCTGAGATGGGGCTGGACAAGGAGCACACCTTGCAGGTACGCTGGGGCTGCTGCCGGGCATTCTGGGAGAAACGGCTCACCTTTGGCCAGAAGAAGGTGACCTCTTTTGCCTGTCCTCCTGCAGTCGCTGAGCACGGATGCCTACGATCACTACAGTGCCATCTACAGCCTGCTCTGTGACCGCCAGAAGAGGCATAAGAACCTGCGGATTCCCACGCAACCCGGCCTGCCGAGGGCCATGGCCTTCTCCGCAGCAGCCGTTGCCAGCATCCAGGTCGGTTTTGCACCAGTGGCTGTCCCTTGTGCTTTCCAGGCATGGCTTCCTTGCAGGCGAGGGAAGAGGCTCCTCCTACACAATGGGGAGTGAGTGCAGCCCTGGGCTGTGAGGCCTCTTGGAGCATCCCAGTAGAGCCACCCACCGGTCCCTCTCAGCCAGCTACTCATCTTGGAAATGTTACTGCTTCCCTTGCCAAGCTTCACACACGAGACCTTCTCATAACAAGTCCTACCTCACACTCTGAGGCCTTTCTCCCACAGTGCGGCCTACTACCACTGAGACCTATTCTCCCACTAAGGTGTTCTTTCACACAGAGAGGCTTCTCTCACACTGAGAGCTCTCTCAGAATGAGGCACACCTGCTTATATTGAACTATAGCTTTTGCTGAGTCATTGCATCAATTTAACCCTTTCAGTGCTTGACTCGAATTTGTATAATTAAAAATACGTAGTTAATTTTGAATATTTCTGACACATCTAGTAGAGCAAACCACCGGGCCCCCTCAACCAGCCTTTTGTATTGAAAATGTTATTGCTTCCCTTGCCAAGCTTCACACATGAGGCCTTCTCATAACAAGGCCTACCTCACACTCTGAGGCCTTTCTCCCACAGTGAGGCCTACTACCACTGAGACCTATTCTCCCACTGAGGTGTTCCCTCAAACAGAGAGGTTTCTCTCACACTGAGAGCTCTCTCAGACTGAGACACACCTTCTTATAATGAACTACAGCTTTTGCTGTGTCATTGCATCCATTTAACACTTTCAGTGCTTGACTCACATTTGTATAATTAAAATAACTAGTTAATTTTGAATATTTCTGACACATCCCCAGTTGAGTGACCCACTGCCCCCCCCCTCAGCCAACCTTTTGTATTGGAAATGTTATTGCTTCCCTTGCCAAGCTTCACACATGAGGCCTTCTCATAATGAGGCCTACCTCACACTTTGAGGCCTTTCTCCCACAGTGAGGCCTACTGTCACTGAGACCTATTCTCCCACTGAGGTGTTCTCTCACACTGAGAGCTCTCTCAGACTGAGGCACACCACATAATGAGACCTACCTCACACTCTGAGGCCTTTCTCCCATAGTGAGTCCTACTGCCACTGAGACCTATTCTCCCACTGAGGTGTTCTCTCACACAGAGAGGCTTCTCTCACACTGAGAGCTCTCTCAGACTGAGGAACACCTGCTTATATAGAACTGCAGCTTTTGCTGAGTGTTTCCACCCATTTAACCCTTTCAGTGCTTGATTTGTATAATTAATTTCAGTGTAAAATATAATGTGTATAATATAATTTCAGTGCTTGATTTGTATAATTAAAAATACCTAGTTAATGTTGAATATTTCTGACACATCCCCAGTTGGGCCACCCACCGGTCCCCCTCAGCCAGCCTTTCATATTGGAAATGTTACTGCTTCCCTTGCCAAACGAGGAGGACCACTTGCCCAGGCCTCTGTGCCTTGCCATTCCTATCTCAGCTGCCCTGTGAAGGTGTCCTACCATTGCCTCTTTGGATCATGAAAAGGCAAAGCAGGCAGGGCAGAAGCCGTGTGTGTGTGTGTGTGTGCATGTCTGCTGTGGTAGCAGTCCTTGCGATTCCTGACAGTGTCTGTGTGTGGCTTTTTGCCTCCCTTGCAGGCAGAGCAAGGAGGCAACACGGTGAGCATCAGCGTCCCTCAGGTGCAGCTCATCAACCCGGAGAACCAGATCGTGGAGGTCGGTGGCTGCTCCTTTCCTTGTTCCCGTCCTTGGGGTTCCAGGCCCCCCCCCCCAGTCTGCCCTTTTCACGGCTGTCCTTGTGTGTGTCTCCCTCTCCTAGACGGACGGGACCATGAACCTGGATTCCGACGAAGGAGAAGAGCCCTCTCCCGAAGCCCTGGTCCGCTACCTCTCCATGCGCAGGCACACGGTGGGAGTGGCCGATCCTCGGTGAGTGGCAGCGTGTGGGGCAGGGGGAAGAGGAGGGGGGGGCTGAAGCGGTGGCCCCGCCAAAGGGCAAAGGAGTGACCAGCGGGGCTTGTCTTTGCAGCACGGAGGTGATGGAGGATCTCCAGAAGTTGCTGCCAGGCTTCCCCCGCGTTGCGCCTCAAGCCCCCTTCTTGCAAGTGGCGCCCAACATGAACATGCCCGCCAACATGCTGCCCATGCAGCACCTCCAGCCCACTGGCCAGTTGGAGTACAAGGTAAGGCAAATGCAAGGAACAGAGATTCCACCTGAACACCAGGAAGAACCTCCCGACCTTTAGCACCATTCAGCAGTGGAACTCACTGCCTCTGAGTCCAGTGGAGGCTCCTGTTTGAGCAGAAGTTTGATGGCCATCTGTCAGAGGTGCTTTGGTTGTGCTTTTCCTGCCTGGCGGAGAGAAGGGGGTGGGACTGGGTGGCCCTTGGGGTCTCTTCCAACCCTGCGATTCTCTGAGTCGAACTTCCTGGGAGCTGCACTGGCACAACAACAGTGGGGGAGCCCTTGCTCCGTCCTGTGTGGCGCGATGCTGAGGCGCACCGTGTTTCCTTGCAGGAGCAGTCCTTGCTGCAGCCCCCGACTCTGCAGCTGCTGAACGGGATGGGGCCCCTGGGGCGGAGGGCCTCGGACGGAGGGGCCAACATCCAGCTGCACGCCCAGCAGCTCCTCAAGCGGCCCCGGGGCCCTTCGCCACTCGTTACCATGACGCCAGTAAGTCAGGGAACCAAGAGCTGGTGCCTGGGTTGGCTTTCCCCCTCCAGCTCCATTGCCTCTTTTCCTTCTGCGTTCCTAACTTTCAAGCCGTCGGCCCAGGACAGGGCAGGGACCTCTTGAGCCTGGTCTTGGGACTAACCTTCAGATCAGGCGTCTGTTGTATTTGCATTCCCGGACATTTCCTGTGCAGCCCTCAAGCTGAGGCCTCGTTTCTCCATTGTTTTCCTTTAAACATCTTTTGTCTTTTTCTACTGGTATTTCTATTGGTAGAAATTTAGATAGTTGTTGCTGTTGTTGTTGTTGTTGTTGTTGTTGTTGTTGTTGTTAGGATGGTGCTTTCCTGCCTGGAAGAATGGGTGGGCTGGATGGCCTTTAGAGGTCCCTTCCAACTCTATTATTATTATTATTATTATTACTATTTTACTGACACAAAACCACGGTATGTCAAGCAAATGAGATCTATATGCTGGATTTCGTATCACAAAATCACAAGTCGAACACTTCCCAAGCGTCTAGGACTGTGTGATGTCAGGTGGCCTTTTGCAGTTGACAGATCATTATTTTATCCATGTTTATTGTTTCCAAATGCCAGCTGAGATCTTTTGGCATGGCACCCAGTGTGCTCATTATTACCACTGGGACCCCCTGGACTGGTTTATGCCAGAGCCTTTGCAGTTTGATTTTGAGGTCCTGACACTTCCCAAGTTTCTAGGACTGTGTGATGTATCAGTGGATAATGCACACAGATCCGAGTAAGGTGGCCTTTTGCAGCTGACAGATGGTAATTTTGTCAGTGCCAATTGTTTTCAAGTGCAGGCCAAGGTCTTGAGTTCCTGCACCCAGTGTGCCGATCAACACTGGAACACACTTGACTGGCTTGTGCCAGAGTCTTTGCAGCTAAATCTTTAAATTCTCCGCCGCCACCACCACCTCCTTCTTCTCCTCCTCTTCTTCTTTCTTTATTTCTATCCCACCTTCCTCCCTGTAGGAATTCAAGGCAACTCATAAGTAATGTTGGTGCCAATCTGCTTGTTGAGGCACTAGGAAATCCTGCCAAGAGAGAGAGAGAGAGAGAGCGCATTCCCCCAAAGGGAAGTTTGGGGCAATACATATTTACTTACTTATTTATTTAGAATATTTGTACCCCGCCTTTCTCCGCGGTCAGACTCAAAGCGGCTTACAACATAAGAATATATACATTCCAGCAGTTAAAATGTGTAAGCAACTGGGTTACTGTAACCAGACAAGTGGGGTTTATATATCTGTGGAATAGATAGATCTACCTATCTATTGACCTATCTGCCTAGCTACATCTCTATGTATCCATCCATCTCTTTGTCTACCTTTCTATCCACCCGTCTGTCCGTCCATCCATCTATCTATTTATCTATCCATCTATCCATCCATCCTTCTATCCATCCATCCTTCTATCCATCCATCCTTCTATCCATCCATCCATCTTCCTGTCTGTCTGTCCGTCCATCCATCCATCCGTCTGTCTTTCTATCTCCCTATCTCTCTCTCTCTCTCTCTCTCTCTCTCTCTCTCTCTCCATCCATCCATCCATCTCTTATGGTCTTTGGGGTTCCTTAGAAGTTCCAGGCAGTCCAGTCTCTGCTGGGCCCTCTTCACCAATGCTGGTGTATGAACACTGCTTCAGGTCAGATCCTCCTTTACAGTGACACCCAGGGACCTACAACCAGCCCCCTGCTCCTCTTGGTCTCCATTTATGAACAAGGGCTGGATCTCTGGTCTTTTCTTCCTATGGTCCACTATGAGCCCCTTGGTCTCGCTGTCCATCCACCCACCCCAGCTCTTCTGTGGGAACCATGTAGCTCCGTCGCCTTCCCCGTCTCCCTTCTCCTGGGGCCTCTTCCCGCAGAACCAAGCTCTGCTTCTCTGCTCCCTGCAGGCCGTGCCCGCCGTGACCCCCGTGGACGAGGAGGGCTCGGACGGAGAGCCGGACCAGGAGGCCGTGCAGAGGTAAGGCCCCTTTGCCCCACATTGGCCCCCCTCTCTCTTGCCTCCGGTGGGCTTTGGGGCTCTGCTTCCCTCTGCTTCTCTGGGAGATGGTTTTCCTGCGTGGACTCTGCTACGACTCCAAGGCTGCTGCTCCTGCTCCTTCCCTTGGCCTTCCTACTAACCTCTTTGCAGTAACCGCGTGGGTAGGTGGAGTTTCTGCCGCTGCCTGGGCCAACTTGGGCCCTCTCTCCAGGTGTTTTGGACTCCAACTCCCACCATTCCTAACAGCCTCAGGCCCTTTCCTTTTCCCCCTCAGCCGCTTAAGCGGCTGAGGGGGAAAAGGAAGGGGCCTGAGGCTGTTAGGAATGGTGGGAGTTGGAGTCCAAAACACCCAGAGGGCCAAAGTTGCCCCATGCCTACCTGGAGAGAACCTGTTCACCTGTAGAAAACTATCATGACCATGACTAAGAAACTATAGAGCCAACACAGCCCATACAATGCAGTTTTCTGAACCCAAAGAACCTAAGGAAGAGATCTAAAAGACCTAGACACGTAGGATTTTGTTGTTGATGATTTCCACGAGTCCTGGAACCAAAAGCCTCACCTCAAAGAAGTGTTTAAAAACAAACTCAAAGTATTAGTTTGAAACAGTGGAAGAAGCAGCTCAAATATCACAATCACAACAATAAATGTTCAGCGCAACCCAGCCGAAAGGTAAATAATCCGTGGCCTGAGTGAGAGTATCAGAAGCAGCTCCAATATCACAATCGGGACAATAAATGTTCAGCAAAACCAGGCGAAAGGTGAATAGTTCATGGGCTGAGTATCAATAAGAAGATGAAGCCTCCCCAACCTCTCACATAACATGGAATAATAATAATAATAATAATAATAATCTTTATTTATTCCCCGCCACCATCTCCCTGGCTTACATGAGACCAAGCCCAACAGCATCTATATCAATAAAAATGCAATGTTCATTTGTGGGATTAACATAACTCAAAAACCACTGGACAAATTGACACCAAATTTGGACACAAGACACCTCTCAGGTCAACCAGTGACCATCACTAATAAAAACACTGAAAAACAGAGCAGAAGGGACTTAAAAAGCCAAAAAACAACAAAAAAAATACATTACATTGCATGCACAAAACCACACACACACACATACACACAATAATCATAATAATAATAATCATCATCTATATAATAATAATAATCATAATAATAATAATCATCATCTATATCAATAAAAATGTAATGTTCATTTGTGGGATTAACATAACTCAAAAACCACTGGACAAATTGACACCAAATTTGGACACAAGACACCTCTCAGGCCAATGAGTGACCATCACTCATAAACACACTGAAAAACACAGCAGAAGAGACTACAAAAAGCCAAAAAACAAAACAAAAAACATATATATATATATATATATATATGTAGACACACATATGCACATATATACACACAGAAAACACAGACTGGGCCACGGCAAAGCGTGGCAGGGGACGGCTAGTATTACAATAAAATAAAAACCAAAACACAAACAATAACACAGTAAAATACATAAAACATATGAATACAGTAAGCAATAAGTAAGCAATACAAAATCAGTTGAAATCACAGTGACAAGGAGCGGGCCGCATGTACAAGATAAAATCCTAAAAACTCAGTGTGAGATAGGAATGGAGCAGATTATTTGTGAGGGAGGAGCTCATAAAGAAACCGGGTTGTACAAAACTGGCCTTCGTAAAGGCGGGGGGGGGGGGGGGGGGGGGGAAGTGTACTGTAGCAACAAAAACGTTGAGGGAGAGCCACAGTATATGGTTGTCTGGCTACTCTCCAAAAGCGCAACGGAAAAGCCAGGTTTTGAGATTCTTTTTGAAGGTTTCTAAGGTGGGGGCTCGCCTAATCTCACCGGGCAGTGAGTTCCAGAGTTGGGGGTCTCCCTTGTCCTCGCCAACTGTAGAGAAAGCCTTGTGTTGACGCTCCCGACACTCCCAAGAGTGGAGCCTAGGTGGTGCTCTTGGCATCTCGAGAGAGGGATCGTCCTGCTGCTTGAGAACCTCCCAAGGGTCCTCCCATGTGTGATGGCTTCCCTAACGGAGAGCTCCACGAACACTAGGGACCTCTTGTCGCCAAGGCCTGCCTTTTTCTGCCTCTCTTCTCGCTGCAGCCCTGCGGGAGGGCCTGCTCTTAACCTCCCCCCCCTTGCTTTGCTTGGGTCCTCCCTAGGCTGGTGTTTCCTGCTTCTTTCTCCAGTTGCCCCGCGGCGCCAGAGAGCCGGTCTTGCTCTCAAGTTGCCGTGCGCGCCCCCCCCCTCTTCCGCCCTCCCCTCGCCACTGGCCCCGGTCCCACGGAGCGCCTGGCCCCCTCCCTCTCACGAAATGTGCTCCTGCTTGTTGCAGATACTTGGCCAACAGGTCAAAAAGGCACACCCTGGCAATGACCAACCCCACCGCGGAAATCCCGCCCGACTTGCAGAGGCAGCTAGGACAGCAGCCCTTCCGCTCCCGGGCTCCCCACATGGCACCCGACCAGCACCGGTGAGTAGTGGCACCGGCCGCTCGGGGGTCCCGGCCAGGAACCCGCCACCATTGCACCCCTGCAAAAGGAGAAAGAGAGAGAAACAGGAAGAAAGAGAGGCTTGTGGAGGGGCAGGTCCTCTTCCCGACCAGGGTTTGCCCTTCCTGTAGCCCCCAGGGAGCCTGCTTGGCTCACTAGTGACATCAGGGAGGGCCACTTCACCTAGCAATAGCCAACCCAGTGACATCACGGAGGGCCGGAGCCTGCTAGGGTGGAGGCTCACCACTGACATCACAGAGGGCCACTTCACCTAGCAATGCCAACCCAGTGATACCATGGAGGGCCACTTCACCTAGCAACAGCCAGCCCAGTGACATCACGGAGGCCACTTCACCTAGCAACAGCCAACCCAGTGACATAATGGAGGGCCGGAGCCCTACTAGGGTGGACGCTCACCACTGACATCACAGGGCCACTTCACCTAGCAATGCCAACCCAGTGATACCATGGAGGGCCACTTCACCTAGCAACAGCCAGCCCAGTGACATCACGGAGGCCACTTCACCTAGCAACAGCCAACCCAGTGACATAATGGAGGGCCGGAGCTTGCTAGGTTGGAGGCTCACCACTGATATCACAAAGGGCCACTTCACCTAGCAACAGCCAACCCAGTGATAGCATGGAATGCCACTTCAACTAGCAACAGCCAACCCAGTGGCATAATGGAGGGCCACTTCACCTAGCAATAGCCTTTTGGGTTCAAGAGGACAGATAAACAAACAAACACACCTCAACTTTTATTTGCTCAAGGCCAACTGCACGTTCCACACAGAAAGTGCTGCTGTCTCGAGCGGTGGTGCCCAACCTTTGGTCCTTCAGGTGTCCTTTGGGCTTTGGCTCCCAGAACTTCCTTCTGAGGGTCCCAAACACCTGGAGGGCCAAAGGTTGGGCACCATTGGCCTCCAGAACCGAATGCTGTGAGACTGGTGCTGCTTGGATTCTCTATAAACAGCAGGGTGAGGGGTGTTGCCACTCTGTGGGGAGTGGGCAGCGTTTCAGGACCCTCTTTGGAGAGCAGTTCCCCTCCAGGCGCTTCCTGAATCCCCGAGGTGCCTTTGGGTGGATCTGAGGGGATAACAGCGCTGCTAAAGGGCTCGTATCCCATGTCAACAGTTACAGCTGCCTTGTGTGGAATCCTGGGATTTGTAGTTTGCTAAAATTCCCAGCTGGAGAGGTCCCTTGCCTTACAGTCTCCAGAGTTCGATAGCAGTTACAGTGGAGTAGTGGTGCTTTGGTGGTGTCGTATGATAATCTACGAGAGAACTCGAGGGCCGAGGGGACCCAAGACCCCTTCTGTGCCACACGATTCACATTTGGGTGCCATTGGGTGGATCTGAGGGGATAACAGCGCTGCTAAAGGGCTCTTATCCCATGTCAACAGCTACAGCTGCCTTCTGTGGAATCCTGGGATTTATGGTTTGCTAAAATTCCCAGCTGGAGAGGTCCCAAGAGTTTGATAGCAGTTACAGTGGGAAAGCAGTGCTTTGGCGGTGTTGTGTGATAATCTCCTACAAGAGAACTCGAGGGCCAAGAGGACCCAAGACCCCCTTCTGTGCCACACGATTCACGTTTTGGTGCCCAACGTTCTGGACGCTTCCTCAGCGAAGGAATGCCCGGCAGTGCCGCTCCCCTCCGGCCTGGTGTCCTGCGGAGACTCAGGTGGCAAGGGACCTCTGGACCTTGTTTGTGTCAACAGCTCTGTCATGGGATCTCTCTCTGTCAGGGAGAGCGGTGTTTGCCCAGAGCGCTTGATTCCTCCCTGGCGTTCCTTGGCAGGCAGGCAGGAGGAGGGGGGGGGGGGCTTGTGTCGGAGGAGAAGGACGCCGACCTTTGCCTCTTGCAAAACAAGCCAAGCACTCAGGAATCTGGCTCCCCCATGCAGGCCTGTCTGCAGCCTTCTCCGTTCAAAAACAAGAGCCTTGCATGTACACACAGGCTCACATCCCACCCGCAGAGTCTTTGGTGAGAACCCCAACTGGCCTGGCTGTCCCTCCATATCCCCCCCCCCCCCCCCCCCGTTCCTGGGCAACCCATTTCGCCCCTGTCCCCAGGTAGCTGCTGAGCTGGAGGGAGACGTCACCAGCCCCAGCAGATGAACTCTGAGCCGGCTGAAGGCATGCCGGTGCCACGCTGGAACCTACATAGGCAGGCAGGCAGGCAGAGATAAGAGCAGGCACTGAGGCCTTGGGTGACTCCGGGTTAAGACTGGCTTTGGCACAGAAGTGGGAGCCGGTGTGGCATCGCAGGCAGGAGGCACCCCTTCACCTTTGCATTTCCACATACAAATATATTCATACACATACACAGATATACATACCCAGATGCACATATAATATCCCAGAGTTGGAAAAGACCACATGGGCCATCTAGACCAACCCCTTGCCATGCAGGAAAAGCACAGTCAAAGCACCCCTGACAGATGGCCATCCAGCCTCAAAGCTGAGTTGGAGAGTTCTGCTGTGGCACAGCTCTCCTTATAGCCAGGAAGTTCTTCCTAATGTTCAAGTGGAATCTCCTTTCCTGCAATTTGAACCCATGGCTCCATTGAGTTCCACTCTCCAGGGCAGCAGAAAACATCTATACATACAGATATACAGACACATACACGTATACACAGGTATACAGAAACATATACACATACATATGTACACATACACAGATATACAGACACATATACAAAAATACACATATACATATACATAGATATACAGACACATAAATACACATACAGAGATATACAGATACAAATACACATATACACAGATGTACAGACACATAAATATACACATACAGAGATATACAGACACATATACAAATACAAATATACACATACGCAGGTATACAGACACATGCAAATACACATACAGATGCATATACAAACACACATATACATATATCGGTGTATTTATATATGAGGAGGCCAGGAGGCACCATCTTTTCAGGGGCCAAAGTGATGCCTCCAGGAAGGAAGGAAGGAAGGGGGTCCCCCTGAGGAGCTGCCTTGGCCCTTGCTTCCCTTCTCTTCGAGGCCTGGGCAGGCTCTCCAGTTCCACACACACTCGCACACAGGCAGACACGAGCGCAGGTTGACAGGCAAGTATTTGCCCCTTGGGAAGGTCACTGAAGCTCCTGATAGTGTTGGTTGCAAGCCAGGATGTGACCCCTTCCTACAAGACAGAGGAGAGAAGCCCAGGAGCCTCCTGCCTCATTGTAGGACTCAGGGAAGCCGCCCCGCCTCACACCTGAAACAGCACAACCTTCTTCAGGGTAGAAGGGCTCTCTCATGGGCAACTGAAGAGGTGTCCAAGGCTTTCATTGCCGGAATCACTGGGTTGTTGTAGTTCCAACAGACCTCACTACCTCTGAGGATGCTTGCCATAGATGCAGGCGAAACGTCAGGAAACGCCCAGAGACTCAGGTCCAACATAGCACCATGCTCTCTTCAGCCCGGTGTTTGTATTTAGGGGCATTCTCCGTTGTTTCCCCTGTTCTGCAACCGAAACTGGCCTGGGAGCCCAAAGGGATGCCAAGTGGCGTGGTTCCGGGTTTCTGTGGCCCTTGGTGGCTCTGAGGGCCTGGGCCGGGTGTAAAGACTTTCTGTATAGGTTTCAGATTTCAATATTAATGTCAAAAATGCGTAGTATGATTTTACATAGGATTTGTTCTACATTAGAACAATAAAGACAAATAACACTTAAGTAAAATAACATTAAATATTAAATAACCAGGGCTCGCGTCCTGCAGCGTATGCCTTGCCATAGAATCCTGGGTTGGAAGAGACCACGTGGGCCATCTGGTTCAACCAGAGCAGGGCGACTCAAATGATCAAGGGTCTGGAGAACAAGCCCTATGAGGAGCGGCTTAAGGAGCTGGGCATGTTTAGCCTGAAGAAGAGAAGGCTGAGAGGAGATATGATAGCCATGTATAAATATGTGAGAGGAAGCCACAGGGAGGAGGGAGCAGATCAGGGGTCTGGAGAACAAGCCCTATGAGGAGTGGTTTAAGGAGCTGGGCATGTTTAGCCTGAAGAAGAGAAGGCTGAGAGGAGATATGATGAGGGCCATGTATAAATATGTGAGAGGAAGCCACAGGGAGGAGGAGGGAGCAAGCTTGTTTTCTGCTTCCTTGGAGACTAGGGCGCAATGGAGGAATGGCTTCAAACTACAAGAGAGGAGATTCCATCTGAACATGAGGAAGAACTTCCTGACTGTGAGAGCCATTCAGCAGTGGAACTCTCTGCCTCAGGAGTGTGGTGGAGGCTCCTTCTTTGGAAGCTTTTAAACAGAGGCTGGATGGCCATCTGTCAGGGGTGATTTGAATGCAATATTCCTGCTTCTTGGCAGAATGGGGTTGGACTGGATGATGGCCCAGGAGGTCTCTTCCAACTCTAGGATTCTATGATCAACCCCCTGCCATGAAGAAACGGTTGGAAGAGTGAGCCGTGCCTTGCATCAGTTTCTCTCGTGGCCCCTTGGGTGTGTGGCTCAAGTGGCGCTGGCTCTCTCAGTGTGCCTGCTTCAGAGCATACCAGCCTTCTTTCCCATTGGAAGGGCCACACTCTTCCTAGCAGCCTCTTGTTGTTGCCCATCCTTACCCAGGTACCACCTCCTCTGGGCTCAAGGCTGGCATGATGCTGTGCACCACAATTCAAGAGAGATATTGACAAGCTGGAATATGTCCAGAGGAGGGTGACTCAAATGATCAAGGGTCTGGAGAACAAGCCCTATGAGGAGCGGCTTAAGGAGCTGGGCATGTTTAGCCTGAAGAAGAGAAGGCTGAGAGGAGATATGATGGCCATGTATAAATATGTGAGAGGAAGCCACAGGGAGGAGCAGGCATGTAGCCGGGGGGGGGGGGGGGCTTGGGGGGCTTCAGCCCCCCTCTCCCCGAAATTCTGATGGTGGTCCGCAAGAAGGTCTTACTGGTACATTATTTAAACTGTTATGTTTATTCATATCATGATCTGATCACCATGCTCAATATATCATATGCATTGGGGTAACGATACAAAAGGTTTGCTAGGGTAGACCCTCTTTCATTCAGACTCAGCCCCCCCCCCCCAAACAAAACTCAGCCCCTCCCCCCCCCCCGATAACCATGTATAAATATGTGAGAGGAAGCCACAGGGAGGAGGGAACAAGCTTGTTTTCTGCTTCCTTGGAGACTAGGACGCAATGGAACAATGGCCTCAAAATTCTATGATTCGATGTATTACTTGGATGCATCAAAATGCATTCCTGGTCCTGAAGCGTTGGAAATGTCTCTGGACGGGAAACCACATTGCTCCAGTGTTGGCACCCCGGATCTCCCAGACCGCAACCTTTTGAGGGGCAACTCATATTTAAGATGCCGCAAGCCCAGCGGGAGGGTAATTCCCAAAGGCCAAGGGTCCAAGGAGCTTGGGAAACCTACTGACAGTGCCTCTGACCTGAGACCAGGGATTGTGGAGGTGCTGAAGCAAATACCTGCCAGATCCTGCTTCCAGGACTGTCTTTCAGGATGACAGGACCAGCTGGGCCTGGGGGAAAGGGGCTGCGAGGGGCACGGATCCCACTCTCTCTTTGTCTCTCTGTGTGTCTGTGTCTGTGCGCAGCTACATCTACAAGGACTCCAACACCCTGCACCTGCCCACCGAGCGCTTCTCCCCGGTCCGCCGCTTCTCCGACGGGGCCGCCAGCATCCAGGCGTTCAAGGCCCAGCTGGAGAGGATGGGCAACCACAGCAGCATCAAGCAGCTCCAGCAGGTACAGCGCGGGCGGAGGAGGCCGGGGGGCAAGGCAAGAGCGGGGAACGAGAGCGGGACGCGGGTGGGAGCGCCTCCCCATCAGGAGGCCATTCTAGATCCGGCTTGGATCCTGCAGCCCGCCTGCTGTGAGGGGGAGAACAGCTGCAGGGGGTCCACGCTCTGCTGTGTGCCCGTCTCTTAGAACTTCCCAAAATTCTAATTAAATAAATCAGGGGTCCTCAAACCTTTTAAACAGAGGGCCAGGTCACAGTCCCTCAAACTGATGGAGGGCCAGATTATAATTTGGAGAAAAAAAAACATGAATGAATTCCTATGCACACTGCGCATGTCTTATTTGTAGTGCAAAAAACACTTACAAACAATACAATAATTAGGTTCTTGTGGGTTTTTTCGGGCTATAGGGCCATGTTCTAGAGGCATTTCTCCTGACGTTTTGCCTGCATCTATGGCAAGCATCCTCACCTCACTACCTCTGAGGATGCTTGCCATAGATGCAGGTGAAACGTCAGGAGAAAATGCCTCTAGAACATGGCCCTATAGCCCGAAAAAACCCACAAGAACCTAGTGATTCCAGCCATGAAAGCCTTCGACAATACGTCAATACAATAATTAAAATGAAGAACAATTTTAACTAATATAAACTTATTAGTATTTCAATAGGAAGTGTGGGCCTGCTTTTACCTTTTTGTTGTTGTTGTGTCAGGAGCGACTTGAAAAACTGCAAGTCGCTTCTGGTGTGAGATAATTGGCCGTCTGCAAGGACGTTGCCCAGGGGACGCCTGGATGATTTGATATTTTTATCATCCTTGTGGGAGGCTTCTCTCATGTCCCCGCATGAGGAGCTGGAGCTGATATAGGGAGCTCATCCGCCTCTCCTCAGATTCGAACCTGTGACCTGTCAGTCTTCAGTTCTGCCAGCACAGGGGTTTAACCCACTGCGCCATCAGGGGCTCTTGCTTTTAGCTGATATTGTTATTGTTGTGGTTGTTGTTTTGTGCTTTCAAGTAGTTTCAGACTTAGGTTGACCCTGAGCGAGGGCCGGGTAAATGAGCTTGGAGGGCCGTATCTGGCCCCTGGGACTTAGTTTGGGGACTCTTGAAATAAATGAACCAATGAAGATGTGTTTGAAAAACCATCTGTTCAGGAGGAGAAGGCAAGAAAAGGTGTGCAGGGTATTTCCAGGGGTGGCCCCGGAGCCCTCTCCCTGGAAGCCCCTTCATTGCCAATGGGGATTGGGCTTCCTGTCAGCCCCCTCCTGCTTTCTTCTTGCGCCCGCTACCTTTCCCCAAGGGCAGGGAACATGCGTTCCAGGCGGGGCCCCCTCGCAGGATGCAGACACAAAACCGGGCTCGCTGGCTTGTTTCAGGAGTGTGAGCAGCTCCGGAAGATGTACGGGGGCCACATGGACGAGCGCACTCTGGAGAAGACACAGCAGCAGCACATCTTGTACCAGCAGGAGCAGCACCACCAGATCCTCCAGCAGCAGATCCAGGTACTGGGGCACCACGGTGGGCAGGGGCACCTGCAGGCATCTCTGGGGACAGAGCGGCTGTTCGTACACAACTGGGGTCCTGGCGGGCTCAGGCCTTGGTGGCATTGAGACCTTCCTTGGGCCACCATTCTGGGTCCAGGCTGAGAAAGAAGACCAGAACGTCCCAGCCTTTGTCCCTGCTCTTTCAGATTTAATTTTTGAGATCTGTACATGTTTCTTCCAGTGTGCCTTCCCAGAATAAGGAAATCCAAGCAATGTCTCAAATGCACTTTATGAGAGATTTAGGACTGTCTGCATGCCCACCTATCCCTAAAATATCCCTATTTCACTTGGACATGCCCAGCATTTTTTAAAATTTTAACCATTACATTTGGCCCTGCCACAGGTTTTTAATGCGTCATGATATTATTGTTATTGTTTTTGCTTTGTTTATGAGTTTATTTATTGTTGTATTGTTGTCGTTGTTGTTTTGTTGATGTATTTGGGCTTGGCCTCTTGTAAGCCGCACCAAGTCCTGCGGGAGATGGTAGTGGGGTATAAATAAAGGATTATTATTATTATTATTATTATTATTATTGTTTACCCCAAAAATATTTTTACAACCTGCCTCGTGTAAAACTCTAGAGCTGGAACAAACCCTGGGACTGTTGACTCAGTTGGAATGGGATCTGTCCTTTTCTCTGGGGAAGCGTGTAGTTTAGTGGGAGCCCACCGTGGGGCTGGCTGCCCCTGTTTTGAACCCCGGGGAAGCCGCCTGCTGCCTTGAGGGGTGACTAGGAGGCCTCTCTCTTTTGCCCTTCCTCTTGCAGGACTGCGTCTGCCCTCCGCAGCCCTCTCCGCCCCTCCAAGCGCCAGGGGAGAACCAGCCCGCTCTGCTCACCCACCAGCTCCAGAGGTAAGTGGCAGCCCCTGCCCCTGCCCCACCTTCTGCCCCATTGTCTCCCTGGAGAGCATCAACACCTCCACTTAGCAACCCAGGCTCAGTAGAGTGGCCTCATTGCCAAGTCCTAGTGTTGTTGTTGTTGTTGCGTTTATTTATGTGGTTCTGGCCCAGCTTACCTGTCCGAACATATCTCCCCGTATGAACCACCTAGGACCTTGAGATCGTCCGGAGAGGCTCTGCTCTCAGCCCCGCCTTCGTCACAGGCACGTTTGGCGGGGACGAGAGACGGGGCCTTCTCAACGGTGGCCCCCCGGCTATGCAACGCCCTCCCCAAGGAGATTAGATCGGCTCCCTTCCTCTTAACGTTTTGGAAGCAACTCAAAACATGGCTGTTTGATTAAGCGTTCACAACCACAGAGTAACGGATATAGATAACTGATATAGGAACTGATGACTGACGATGGAACTGGACAAGGCTTGACAATAAGGAGATGCCTATGATATTGTTGTGATTTATGTAATTTTAATGTTTTAAATTTTATTATGATACTGTGTATACTGTTTTTTTGGAAACTGCCTTGAGTCACCAATAGGCTGAGAAAGGCGGTATACAAATACAGTAAATAAATAAATAAATAAATAAATAATATCCCGCTTTTTTCTCTCCGTACGGAGACTCACAGCAGCTCACAACTCACAGCATTGCAATATACAAATATACTGAAGGACAGCAGGGAGGGGGCTGTCCTGGCTTCCCTGGAAGGAAGAAGAAGGAGGAGGGAGCTCCAGAGTCGAGAGGCATTTGCCACTGAGAAGCCCCCCCCCCCCCCCCCCATGGTTTCTATAAATCAAATTCAGGTTGGCAGGGGTTGGTTTATTATTTAACACATGGCAGCAACAACAACAACAAGACGCCACCCAGAGCTCTGGGAGCAAAGTCGAACACAAGTCACTCAGCCCGCTGACTCCTCACCAGTGTTTTGGGAAGAGGCCGGTCTTCCCGTCTCCGTCAGCTTGACCTGCCCACTTGGGTCTCTCTTCCTAACCTTCCCTCCCAGTGGCTTGGCCTCATCCTGCACGGCCACTCTCTGCTTCCCATGGTGTAGCAACAATGAAATTGGTTTATAATACTTTATCTTTAATATGTTTTAGTCGAATTTTTGAATTTTGTAGTGTTTTCAGTTGTTGTTATGTTGTCTCTTAGTTTAATTAGGTTGTGTTCTATTGTCGAATGTGTTTATTTTGAGGTAATTGTTTGTATGGTTTCTTTCTGGCAACTAAATGTTTGCCTTACATGTTGGAAACCTCCCGGAATCCCTTTGGAGGAGATAGGGTGGTATGCACATAAAGTTCTATTATTATTATTATTATTATTATTATTATTATTATTATTAATTCCTAAAGCAGGTATTAATAATATTAAGCCACTGCACCGGTGGCACAGTGGGTTAAACCACTGAGTGCTGAACTTGCTGAATGAATTGGCAATTTGAATTCAGGGAATGGTGTGAGCTCCTGTTGTTAGCCCCAGCTTCTGCCAACCTAGCAGTTCGAAAACATGCAAATGTGAGTAGATCAATAGGTACTGCTCTGATGGGAAGGTAACGCCGCTCCATGCAGTCATGCCCTGAATCCCTTTGGGGGAGATAGGGTGGTATGCAAATAAAGTTCTATTATTATTATTATTATTATTATTAGTATTAGTATTAGTATTAGTATTCATTCCTAAAGCAGGTATTAATAATATTAGGCGCAGTGGGTTAAACAGCTGAACTGCTAAACTTGCTGATAGAAAGGTCGCAAATGCAGGGAGTGGTGAGAGTTCCTGGTATTAGCTCCAGCTTCTGCCAACCTAGCAGTTCGAAAACATGCAAATGTGAGTAGATCAATAGGTACCGCTCTGATGGGAAGTTAATGGCGCTCCATGCAGTCATGCCAGCCACATGACCTTGGAGGTGTCTATGGACAATGCCTGCATCGATGGCGCAGTGAGTTAAACTGCTGAGTGCTGAACTTGCTGAATGAATTGGCAATTTGAATTCAGGGAACGGGGTGAGCTCCTGTTGTTAGCCACAGCTTCTGCCAACCTAGCAGTTCGAAAACATGCAAATGTGAGTAGATCAATAGGTGATGGGAAGGTAACGCCGCTCCATGCAGTCATGCCAGTGGCCAGATGACCTTGGAGGTGTCTACGTACAACACCGGCTCTTGGCTTAGAAATGGAGATGAGCACCAGAGTTGGACGCGACTGGAGTGAATGTCAGGGGGAAACCTTTTCCTAACCTGGGGCCTTCCAGGTCTCCCTTCCTCCACAGTGTCCCCACCCAAGGGCCAGTGTTTCCCAGCAGATGCCCGCTTTGTGCCTGTGCAGGTTACGGATCCAGCCCTCCAGCCCTCCTCCGAACCACCCGAGCAACCATCTCTTCCGGCAGCCCGACAGCAGCCCCCCTCCCACCGGCAGCAGCGTCCACCAGGGCCACGGTAAGCCTCCCATGGGGCCGTTGTCCCTTCCCTTCCCTTCCCCAAGGGGCCATGCGCCAATAGTCGACCCTGCCCATGCATGATGCGCTCTTGGCAGGTGCCGCCTCCCCGTCGCTGTTCCAAGGGATGCCTTCCCACGGTGCCATCTTCCAGCCGTCGGGCAGCTGCTCCCCTCCGCCGGCGCTGGCGCTCTCTTGCCTGCAGGCTCAGCCGGCGGTGGCCATGCAGATGCAGGAGAGCGGGGAGATGATGGGTGGGACCCTCCTGCAGGCCGGGCAGGGCCTGCCCATCGCCCCCAGTGCCAACCAGCTGCAGATGCACCACCACCGGGCCAGCCTCATGGCCTCCCTCTCCTACGGACCCAGGCCGCTCTCCAAGCAGCTCAGCGCCGACACCACGGAGACACACAGGTAAGAACGGCAACGCTGCCCGGCCTTTCGCCTCTCTTTCCTATTTATCTATCTATTTATTTATTTATTTATTGACAGCTTTTCTATTCCGCCCTTCTCCTCACCCCGCAGGGGACTCAGGGCGGACTACAGTGTACACATATATGGCAAGCATTCAATGCCAATTTTTGACTTACAAACATATACAGACATACACAGAGGCTACTGAACTTTTTTTCTGGCCGCCAGGGGAGCTGTCGCTTTCATCGTCCATCTGCGACGCTGATGAAGTACTTCCGCATTCCCCGCATGCTTCCCTGCTGGAGTCTTCTTTATGGCCTCATAAATCAGTTAATTTAGCCTCCCCACACTTTAAGGTGGTACTTTTTTTTCCTACTTGGCAGATGCAACTGTCTTTCGGGTTGCAAAGGTCGACAACAGGCTAGACACAATTGGTTGGAAACCCACTCCAACCCGGGCTGATGAAGCATTTCCGCATTCCCCGCATGCTTCCCCGCTGGAATGCTTTGCTGGAGTCTTCTTTATGGCCTCATAAATCAGTTAATTTAGCCTCCCCACACTTTAAGGTGGTACTTTATTTTCCTACTTGACAGATGCAACTGTCTTTCGGGTTGCAAAGGTCGACAACAGGCTACACACAATTGGTTGGAAACCCACTCCAACCCGGGCTGATGAAGCACTTCCGCATTCCCCGCATGCTTCCCCACTGGAATGCTTTGCTGGAGTCTTCTTTATGGCCTCATAAATCAGTTAATTTAGCCTCCCCACACTTTTAAGGCGGTACCTAATTTTCCTACTTGACAGATGCAACTGTCTTTCGGGTTGCAAAGGTCGACAACAGGCTACACACAATTGGCTGGAAACCCACTCCAACCCGGGCTGCCTTCGAACTCATGACCTTTTTGGTCAGAGTGATCTTAATGCAGCTGATACTCAGCCTGCTGCGCCACAATCCGGTCCTAGATCTCTGCAACTCAATGTGTTTGGCTTCCTGGCTGCAAGAAGAGGTCACACCCCCTTCTTCCCAATCCTATCAATCCATCAAACTTTTATTTACATCCTGCCCCATCTGTCTCCCCCTGGGGACTCAGGGCGGCTTAGTTATTTGTTTATTATTTATTTACTTCACTGCATTTATATACCGCTTTTCTCCCCCTGAGGGCACCCAAAGTGGTTTCCAACGTAACAATTGCAAAATTCAAAGGGGGAAAGGAAAGGGACCGAGGCTGCCGAGGGGAAAAAAAGAAAGGGACTGAGGCTGCCGAGGGGATAAAGGAAAGGGACTGAGGCTGCCAAGGGGATAAAGAAAAGGGACCGAGGCTGCCGAGGGGAAAAAGGAAAGGGACTGAGGCTGTCAAGGGATGAAAGGAAAGAGACTGAGGCTGCCGAAGGGGGAAAGAAAGGGACTGAGGCTGCCAGGGGGGAAAAGAAAGGGACTGAGGCTGCCGAGGGGAAAAGGAAAGGGACTGAGGCTGCCGAGGGAGAAAAGGAAAGGGACTGAGGCTGCCGAGGGAGAAAAGGAAAGGGACTGAGGCTGCCGAGGGAGAAAAGGAAAGGGACTGAGGCTGCCGAGGGAGAAAAGGAAAGGGACTGAGGCTGCCGAGGGGAAAAAGGAAAGGGACTGAGGCTGTAGGGAGAAGGAAAGGGACTGAGGCTGCCGAGGGGGAAGAAAAGGACTGAGGCTGCCAAGGGGGGAAAGGAAAGGGACTGAGGCTGCGAGGGGGGAAAAGGAAAGGAACCGAGGCTGCCGAGGGGAAAAAGGAAGGGGACCGAGGCTGTCGAGGGGGGAAAGGAAAGGGACCGAGGCTACTGAGAGGAAAAAGGAAAAGGTCTGAGGCTGCTGAGGGGAAAGGAAAGGGACCGAGGCTGCCGAGGGGGAAAGGAAGGGGACTGAGGCTGCCTAGGGGAAAAGGAAAAGGTCTGAGGCTGCCGAGGGGGGAAAGGATAGGGACTGAGGCTACCAAGAGAGGAAAGGAAAGGGCCTGAGGTTGCCAAGGAGGAAAAAGGAAAGGGACGGGGGCTGCCAAGGGGGGAAAGGAAAGGGACCGAGTCTGTTAGGAATGGTGGCATTTGAAGTCCAAAACACCTGGAGGGTCCAAGTTTGCCCCTGCTTGATATAAACCATTACCTGAGGCAGAGGAAAGATGGGGAATACACCACTGTTGTTCCCTCCATGCCTCCCATTCTTGTGCGATGTGCTCCTGAAACCCCTTTCAGCCTCCTCCTTTTGCTCCTCCCTATCTGCCCAGGTACCCATCCTCTGGCTACGACCAGGTGCACGCGCATCCCCACCTTTTCCCGGAGCAGTCCCGGGCCCCTCCCGGCCCCTACGGCCCACCCACCGCCGTGGGCTTCTCCCCCTCGCAGGCCATGAAAGTGCCGTCGATGGAGCCGTTTGCGGCCTTCCCCCAGAGCGGCCAGCCCCTCCCGCAGCAGCACTACGCCTCGGCCTTGCAGCAGGCCCTGCTCTCCCCCACGCCGCCGGACTACAGCCGGCACCAGCAGGTCCCGCACTTCCTGCAGGGCCTGCTCTCTCCCCGCCACTCGCTCACGGGCCACGGGGACCTGCGGTTGCCCCAGGCGGAGGTGGCGCAGATCCTCAAGCGGCGGCAGCAGCAGCAGCAGCAACAGCAGCAGCAGCAGGAGTTCCAGGAGCTGATCCGGCACATGAGCCACGGGGAGGGCGGGCACCACGCGGTCTCCAGCGTGGCCCAGAAACTGTCGGAGCGCCACTCCCTCTCGCCTTACCAGAACACGGACTCATACCACCCGCACCACGGACACCACCCCCAGCACCACCACACCAGCCCCCAGCACCTCCTGAAAGTGCGGGCGCACGACGGCCTCCAGGCGCAGGGGCCGGCCCACGTCTACGCCCCCTCGCCTGCCCTGCTCCACTCCGAGAGCATGGAGGAGGAGGAGGAGGAGGAAGAGGAGGAACAGGCCGTGGTGGACTGTTCTTGCGAGGGGGACAGGGACGGCTTTCCGGGTAGTAAGACCAAAGGTGGCCGCCATCACCAGCACCACCACCACCATCACCACCACCAAGAGCCCCAGTTGCTCCTGAGCGTGGGGGGCCCGGGGGACCTGGAGGCCTTTTATGGGACCGCTAAGCAGGAGCAGGAAATGGGGGGCCACCCGTACCGGCCCCAGCCCATGGCAACATCCGCCTTCAGCCGGAACGAGGCATCCTGCCAAGGTAAGGGAGGGGAGGGCGCCGGGGCGGAATCGGAATGCGGTTTGGGGCCCTGTCTTTTTAGGCTTTGCCTCTCACCTGCAGAAAAGGTGGAGGAGATAACAACAACATAGTAGATCAGGGGTCCTCAAACTACGGCCCGGGGGCCGGATACGGCCCTCCTAGGTCATTTACCCAGCCCTCGCTTAGGGTCAACCTAAGTCTGAAATGACTTGGAAGCACAAAACAACAACAACCATCCTATCTCTTCAGCCAAAAGCAGGCCCACACTTCCCACTGAAATACTAATAAGTTTGTATTTGTTAAAGTTGTCCTTCATTTTAATTGTTGTATTGTTTTTAAGTGTTTTTTGTACTATGAATAAAATATGTGCTGTGTGAAGAGGAATTCATTATAATCTGGCCCTCCAACAGTTTGAGGGACTGTGACCTGGCCCTCTGCTTAAAAAGTTTGAGGACCCCTGTAGTAGATCATTGAAGGAAGCAAAGTAAAGTTCTTAGAGCAACGATTCCCTCATTTTGGTCCTCAGTCTGTTTTGGACATCAAGCCCTGGAGACCCCAGCCACCTCGGCCAATACTGAGGTATTCTGGGAGCTGAAGTTCAAAGCATCTGGGAGGCCACAATCTTGGGAAACACTGTTGTAGGGGATTTTCATAGCGGAAGGAGAGCAGTTCCTTCTTCGCATAACATCCGGTTCTAGGCTGGTCTTCACAAACTGCATACCCCTGTGTTCAGTTAGAGAACTGGGAGGCCTCCAAAGACAGTTTTCCCGTCCTGTTTCTCTGTTGAGCGAGTCAGCATATCAACAAAAGACCCTCCCCATGAATGCACAGCAGAGTAACCTATCAGCAGTATCGTGAGCCAGCGCCAGGAGCCCAAAGAGACCAATGTTCTCTCTTCCTTTGGAAGCTTTTCTTTGTAGTAAAATAATATGGTTGCACTATTTACAAGAACTAGGTTTCCATCACACAAATAAACAAATATATAGTACACACAGCAGCCTTCACACTGGAGCTTTCTCACACATGACTTTTCTCACACTGAGGTTTACCTCACTCTCCTCAGGATGACACTAGCTTTGGCCTACTAAATCTCATGGGCTACTAAAATAAGGTTTCCATAACACAAATAAGCAAATACATAGTAGCTTTACACACAGCAGCCTTCACACTGGAGCTTTCTCACACGAGGCTTCTCTCACACTGAGGTGAGACAACTCTAGCTTTGGCCCGCTGACTCCAACAGGCTTTGGCCTAGTCACTCTTTCCTTTGTAGTAAAATAATATGGTTGTACCATTTACAAGAACTAGGTTTCCATCACACAAATAAACAAATATATAGTAGCTTTACACACAGCAGCCTTCACACTGGAGCTTTCTCACATGAGGCTTCTCTCACACTGAGGTTTACCTCACAATCCTCAGGACGATAATAGCTTTGGCCCGCTGACTCCAACAGGCTTTGGCCTAGTCACTTTTCTTTGTAGTAAAATAATATGGTTGCACTATTTACAAGAACTAGGTGTCCATCACACAAATAAACAAAAGCACTGTAGCTTTACCCACAGCAGCCTTCACACTGGAGCTTTCTCACAGGAGGCTTCTCTCATACTGAGGCGAGACAACACTAGCTTTGGCCCAAAGATTCTAACAGGCTTCTGCCTGCTCTTTTCTTTGTAGTAAAATAATATGGTTGCACCATTTACAAGAACTAGGTTTCCATCACACAAATAAACAAAAACACAGTAGCTTTACACACAGCAGCCTCACACGAGGCTTCTCTCACACTGAGATTTACCTCACAGTCCTCAGGACAATGCTAGCTTTGGCCCACTGACTCTAACAGGTTTCGGCTTACTCACTCTTCCAGTGCTTGACTCACACTTTTGTAATCAAAAATGCCCAGTTAACGTTTATTTTATTATTTATTTATTTACTTTGCTTATATACCGCTGTATCTCAAGCCCGAAGGCGACTCACAGCGGTTTACAAACAGTAAAAACAGTAGAAACAGCAGTGGTTCCATACAACATATAACAATTGACTTAACACATTATCCATAAATTACCAATAAGCAATTACAATGCACAATTATTACAAAAAACAACTGTACCCAATCTTCTCATCATCCAAGCGTAGTCCAGGTTCGTCGTCCATTGTTCCATTCCTATGTTCCATTACCAGATTGCACTAAATTACTCAAACGCCTGCACAAACATCCAGGTCTTCACCTTTTTGCGGAATACCATTAGAGCTGGTGCTAGTCTAATGTCCGTAGGAAGGGCGTTCCACAGCCGAGGAGCCACCACCGAGAAGGCCCTATCTCTCGTCCCCGCCAGCCGAGCTTGAGAAGCAGGCGGGATCGAGAGCAGGGTCTCCCCGGAAGAGCTCAAACTCCTGGTGGGTTCATAGGCAGAGATGCGGTCAGATAGGTAGCTTGGGCCAGAACCGTTTAGGGCTTTAAAGGCCAACGCCAGCACTTTGAATTCAGCCCGGTAGCAGATCGGTAGCCAGTGGAGTTGGCGCAACAGGGGGGTTGTATGCTCCCTGCGCTCCGCTCCTGTTAAAATCATGGCTGCCGAGCGTTGGACTAGTTGGAGCTTCCGAGCTGTCTTCAAAGGCAACCCCACATAGAGAGCGTTGCAGTAGTCTAAACGGGATGTAACCAGAGCGTGGACTACCGTGGCCAAGTCAGACTTCCCAAGGTACGGGCGCAGCTGGCGCACAAGCTTTAGCTGTGCAAATGCTCCCCTGGTCACCGCCGAAACCTGGGGTTCCAGGCTCAGCGATGAGTCCAGGGTCACACCCAAGCTGCGAACCTGCGTCTTCAGGGGGAGTGCGGCCTACTATTACTATTAATATTTCTGACTTCTCCTTTTCTGTTGAGAGGTCACTATCAACAGAGGCTTCTGCCTGGAAGGACTTGTCCGAAGAAGGGAGGTGCTGTCCCGGGGGGGGGGGGGGGGGCCGTGGTGCAATCTAGGCCCCGAATGGGGTGGGGCTGCCTCTGGGTCTGCTCCCCCATCTCCAGTGGCCTGAGGCTGTAAAAGGCCCGACGGAAAGGCGGCCTTTGCCCCTCTGACGAAGGCTGACCTTTGCCCGGACTCTGTCCAAAGGAGGAGCAACGCCCTTTTGGGGTGGCTCCCCTGCTTGCCAGCAAGATCTGGGGAGAAGGGGGAAAGGCTGGAGGGCAAAGACCAAGCTCCGGGCACTGCCTTCCTCCGTTCTGGGTGGAGACCCTCTTCTATGGGGTTGCAAAAGGGCCCTTGGTGCAGAGTGTGGGTCTCTGCTCGGGGATCATGGAAGTTGAAGTGGAGCTGGAGGAATCGGAGCTGGGAGGCCCCCAAGTGCTCCAGAAAAGCCCCCCAAAAGAGGGGATATTGTGGGGGGGCCTGGTTGGGCTTTTCCCCAGCCAAGGCTTGCTTCTTTTGGGGAGGAGGGAACCCTCGCCTTGCCTGCCCCACTCTGGCTTTGTTTTCATGAGGAAGGCCCAGCACATCTCGCACCCTGACCCCAGGGCCTAAACCCATGATGGTGAACCTATGACATGCGTGTCAGCACTGACACACATGGCTATTTATGATGACACGCAGCCACAGAGAAGTACACCTTATAAGAGCCAATGTAATTCCATCCTTAAAAGGCTCTACAAATTTAACATCTTCACGTTTGAGCATTGTTCACTCCATAACTCAGCATGGAATATACATTTTATTCTTATTTAAACTATAAATATTGCAAAATTACATTTATTTTTTCTTGAAGTTAACACCCCACCCAAGTTATGGTCAGGTTTTTGGCAAATTTTGACACACCAAGCTCAAAAGGTTGCCCATCACTGGGCCCTAAACTTAGGTTAAGTTGAAACACTTCCATTTGCGGAGAGCAGGATGTGCAAGGATGGCAGTCCACCTCTGACTTCAAGCTTGCAGTCCCACTGGCTAGAATGGGTCAGCCCCACAGATGGCATTTCCTGGAGTGTAAGAGGACTAAGGAGCTTGTTGACCGAAAGGTCGCAGGTTCGATTCCGGGGAGCGGTGTGAGCTTCTGTTGTCAACCCTAGCTTCTGCCAACCTTGCAGTTCAAAAACATGCAAATATGAGTAGATCAATAGGTACCACTCCGGCAAGAAGGTAAGGGCGCTCCATGCAGTCATGCCAATGGCCACATGACCTTGGAGGTGTCCATGGACAACGCTGGCTCTTTGGCTTAGGAATAGAGATGAGCACCAACCCCCAGAGTCAGACATGACTGGACTTAATGTCAGGGGATAACCTTCATCTAATCTTAAGAGGACTAAGGTCATAGAATTATAGAATAATAGGGTTGGAAGGACCTCTAAAGCCCACCTAGTCCAACCTCCTTTTAGTCATGCAGGAAAAGCACGAAGTAGCCCTGACAGATGGCCATCCAGCCTCTGTTTAAAAGCTTCCAAGGAAGGAGGTTCCTCCACAGACAAGGAAAGAGAGGGAGGGTAGCAAGTGGCTTCCTTTCCTTCCTCCTCCCTGGACCAGAAGGGGAAAAGGGGTGCATTGGTTGCTCAAGCAAGCTCTGACAGTCTTTCTCCTCCCTCTCTGCTGACCCTCGAAGACCCCATGGTGGCCGGTTGCATGGAGAGGCACTCCTCACCTCGGCAGGTGGAGATGGCCGACGCAGAAGGGCTGGGGCCTTATTCGGCCAGAGCCGTCCCCGGACCGCACCACAGAGCCCGCCCTCTGCAGAGACACCACACTATCCAGAGCAGCGAGGACGCCTACGTACGTGGCATGGGTGGGCGGGCGGCTTCTCTTTCCTGGGGGCCTCGTTGGCACGGCTGCGGCCTCTTTGGCTCCCAGCTTGACCCGCCGTTCCTTCCGCGCTCTCTCCATCTCTCACAGGTGCAACTGGACACCCTGCCGGGCATGAGCCTCATGGCGGGGAAGGTGCTCAGCTCCGCCCGCATGGCCGACGCCGTGCTCAGCCAGTCCTCCCTGATGGGCAGCCAGCCGCTCCACGACGGGGAAGGGGCAGGTGAGCACCGGGTACTTCCCTGGCTCCAGACTGTAGGGTGGGGGGGGGGGCAAACCTGGACTGACCCACCGCCCACAGATGGGCTTCTCAACTTGAGAGACCTACATCAATACGCAGCCTTTATTGGCACACGATGATAGAATCACAACACAGGCATATACAGTTGCAGATAAAAAGGAAAGCATTAATATGACATTATTATTATTATTATTATTATTGTTATTATTATAGGCTTCGTGAGGAGTGCAGACTGTAGAGCACTCCTGCAGTTAGTTTTATTTCTATTTTATTGTTTTTATTTCTATTATTATTATTATTATTATTATTATTATTATTATTATTTATGTCCCGCTTTTTGCCCAGACCCAGTATAAACACATCTAACTTGATTGTTGTAGGTTTTTTCGGGCTATATGGCCATGTTCTAGAGGCATTCTCTCTCCTGACGTTTCGCCTGCATCTATGGCAAGCATCTCTGAGGATGCTTGCCATAGATGCAGGCGAAACGTCAGGAGAGAATGCCTCTAGAACATGGCCATATAGCCCGAAAAAACCTACAACAACCCAGTGATTCCGGCTATGAGAGCCTTTGACAATACATCTAACTTGGTCCTGTAACTCAAATCCGTGGTCTGCTTCTTGTGGCACATGCTGGAGCCTCAGTCTAGAGCGGAGCTGCCTTGGCGCTGAGCCTGGCCGTACTCTGAGCGCCTCTCTTCCTTTGCAGACGGCGAGGGACACTTGGAAGGAGAGGAGCACCTGGCCCTCGGGGAGAGCAGCCAGCACCTGAACGCCTCTTGCTACCCCTCCACCTGCATCACAGATGTCCTTCTGAGCTACAAGCACCCGGAGGTGCCCTTTGGCATGGAGCAAGCCGGGGTCTAGAGAGGCGGCGGGCTACAGTAGGTATTGTGGGAGCCCACGGAGGGGTGCACGGGCTGCCTGCTCCTTTCAGAGCTAGCTGCAGAAGGGGGCATGAACAGAAACTGGGAGGCAGTGGGTGTTAGGAATGCTGGGAGTTGAAGTCTAAAACACCTGAATGGCCCAACTTTGGTGACCCAGCATCAGGAGCCCAAAGTGATAAAAAGAACAAAAACACACAGACTAATGGTACTTCTTTGTAGTAGAATAATATGGTTGCACTATTTACAAGAACAAGGTTTCTATCATACAAATCAAGTTCTTTATATTTCCTTCTTTGCTTCCACACTGGGCTTTTCCCCCATGCAGATAAATGACTTTGCTCTCACCAAACCTCCCCTCACAATGAACTTATACTGGAGCTTCACACAGTAGCTTTTTACATACGACAGCCTTCACACTGGAACTTCACACAGTAGCTTTACACATGGCTTTACACATGAGGTCTTCAACCTGGGGCTTCTCTCACTGAAGTTACTCACACCAGGACTTCTCACAGGCTAAGGCCTTCCTCACACAGAGGCTTCTCTCACAGTGCCTCATTGCCTCCATACATTAGAGCAATGTCGGAGTTGTGACCTTTTGTAAAGGCACTCAAGACTTGGCTGTTTGGTTGTGCATTTAAGTCATCAGATCTAATTTGCCAAATAGTCACTGTTGTATGTTTTTATGTTGAATGTTTTTATATTGTGTAAATGCTATTTTAGACTGTAAGTCGCTCGGAGCACCTTGGTGGAGAGCGACTAATTAAGAAATAAAGTAAAGTGAAGTGAAGAAGCCTAAGGCCTACCTCAACACTGTGAGGCCTTCTCTCAGACGAAGGCCTTTCTCCCACTGAGGTTTACCTCAGAGTGACGGCTACAGACACACCTGCCTATATAGAACTGCGGCTTTTGTTGGGTAATTGCATCCATTTAACACTTTCAGTGCTTGACTCACATGTTTGTTATTAAAAATACCTCATTAATTTTTAATATTTCTGACAGATGCCATGTCAAAATGACAAGAGTACAGAGTCAGGTCAGGGTCAACCACAAGCAATCCCCAGGGTCACAGTCCAGTAGTCAAAACACCAGGAGTTCCGTTTTCAGGGTCCGTAAGCCAAAGGCCAGGAATCCAAACCAAAGTCAGAGTCTAAAGTCCATAAGTCGAAAGCCAGGAATGCAGTTGTACACAGCGGAGCTTTCTCACCTGAGTCTTCTCTCACACTGAGGTTTACCTCACGCTCCTCAGGACAACACCAGCCCTAGTCCACTGACTTCGCGGCCTCCCAACTCTTTCAGTGCTTGACTCACACTTTTGCAATTAAACACACATTTTTAATATGTCTGACAGGGCTCCCTCCTTTCCCCCCTCACCTTGGAGATGGGGAGGGCACGCGGGGAGGTCTGTGGGCCTGCAAGTGACCCCAGCCCTGCCCTTCTCTCTCTCTCTCTCTCTCTCTGTCTCGGTAGGGGTATGTACAGCTTTGGAAGAAGAAAAAAAGGTCCATTTCAAAACCAACAGTATCTTGCAGCATTGCCCCCAAAGGCCGTAGCATTTCTCCTGGATGGAAATTTTACGGCGGTGATGGCGGCGGCAGCAGCGGCTTCTCTCCTCCGACTCCTCCGATTCCTCCTCTCCGGTTCAACAGCGCGCTTGTTCCCATGCGAAGCCCACCATTGCCATATCCCTCCCCTGCGATGGGAGCCGTTTGCAGGGCGCATTCGGGGAGTAGGGGGTGCGCCGCCCGCCTTGGAAAGAGGCCCACGCTTTGCCCAACCAAGGTGGCGGCGAGGAGCTCCGGACACCTGCACGCAACGCCATGGCGCTCGGGACAGGTTTCCCCAAAACGGCGACACCGTCAGAGCAGGGGCCGAGCGCGTGACGGACAGACGCGGGGAGGGGGGCGGAACCGCTGTCCAAACCCACGCCCGCCTTGCTTGCCTTGCCCCCTTTCCCCTCCTCCCCACTCTTTGGCGGTGGCAACGTGGGCTCTCCCCTTTCGGCAGTGGTGCAATATTGCTTGTGTGCGTCTCTTTTTTTATTTTTGTGCGTCCACTTTTCCATTTTTTAACGCTTTCAGAAAACCATCTCCTTCCCTTCCTTTTCTCCTAATTTGACTCCGCCGCCCTCTCTTCCCTCCATCCCTTCCTTCCTTCCTGCTTTGCCTCTCTTTCTCCGACTGACCGACCAGCTTTCCTCTTTGGAAACTTTGCTTCCCTCCAGATCATGTCGGAATTCGTTTTCCTTTTTTTCCTCTTTTGGATAAATGTCGTTCTGTTGTTGGTTCTTATTGTTATTATTATTATTATTATTGATATTAATATTATTAATAAATTAATTGTCGAGAGGAGGCGCTCCTCCCTTTTCCCGCCCGCTTGGCTGCTTCCTGGCCCCCCCCCTTCCTCCCTTCCCTGGAGACCCTTCCCCTCCCTGGAGACCCTCCCCCCCCCTCCATTGACACCCAGAGACCTTGTTTTCCGAGGCCGACCCGGTTTCCAAGAGGGGTGCGTGTGTGCGTGTGCGTGTGCCTCTTCACCAGGGAGGATCCCGCGCCATCTTTTCTGCCTTTGGAACTTTTGGAGATGCCACCACAGAGAATTCCTACGACTGACTCTTTTTTGGAGTAATTTTTTTAAAGGAAATATATAGAGAGAGATATATGTATAGATATATACACCGATCTCGATGCAGCAGCAGCAGCAGCCCTCCTGCATTTGCACAGGAGAAGAAGGAGCGCCAAGGAGACCCCTTCGCGGCCCGGACCCCCTTCCGCCTCCCTCCTCAAGGAAAGGAAGGAAGGGGGCAAAGGCCCGCCCGGCTCCGGACTCTTCTCCCTCCGGTTCGTGTCTCCCTCCCTCCCTCCCCCCCTCCCTCCCCGCTTCTGTTTACACGGTCCCGGAGCCCCGCCGGCTCCTTTTTGGCAGTATCACACTTTCTATTTTTTCCGTGGGTATTTTTTTTAAAAAAGATCATTGCTTTGTATTGTAGTAATCAATACTCGCAGTATATGTTGAATGTATGATATCCTTTTGCTATGATTTCTGTCCACCAATATCTCCCCCTTTGTTCATTTACGTTGGACTGAAAGCAGGAACCCACCGGGCGGAAGCCTCCCCCAGATCCTCCAGCAAACTCTTCCTTCTGGTTTCCTTTTGTTATGGTTTGTTGTTTTCCTCCCTTTTTTCTTCTTCTTCTTCTATTTGCCGGAGGGTGGGGTGGGGGCTGCGTGTGTGTTCATTTGCAACTAGTAACTTAGTTGGATGTGGGATCATGACAAATAAACCCATGATTATGGTTGACTCTCTGCTCCGGCTCCTCTCTTGCTTTGGTTTCGGATTTGGCGGAGGGTCTCCTTTGAAATTACAGGAAAGGAGATTCCATCTGAACTTGAGGAAGAACTTCCTGGCTGGGAGAGCTGTTCAGCAGCGGAACTCTCTGCCCTGGAGTGTGGCGGAGGCTCCTTCTTTGGAGGCTTGGAAACAGAGGATGGGTGGCCATCTGTCAGGGTGCTTTGAATGCAATTGTCCTGCTTCTTGCCAGAATGGGGTTGGATTGGATGGCCCATGAGGTCTCTTCAACTAGGATTCTATGAAAGGGAGGCAGAGAAACCCATCCTGGTCAATGTTTAACTCAGGCCAAAAGGACAGCCAAGGACCGGGCCAAACTGGGATCCCTCCAGTCAAGAGAGCGATGTTGCCTTTGGTCCAGAAATGAGTCTGGTCCAGAGATTTGCACATTCCGCTCTGCACATTTCTGGGAAGAGCTCCTGCCTGAAACTGACTGTTTATCCCTTGTTTTGAGCTGATGGGCCTTGTTGTTTGTCTTCAGCAGGGCTGTTTAAACATATTTGGAAAGGCAGCCAAGGCTTCCAGGAGAACTAAGGAAGAACTTCCTGACAGTTCAGCAGTGGAACTCTCTGCCTCAGTCCATTGGAGGCTTCTCAGCAGGCCTCACTACCTCTGAGGATGCTTGCCGTAGATGCAGGCGAAACGTCAGGAGAAATGCCTCTAGAATATGGCCATATAGCCCGAAAAAACCTACAACAACCCAGCTTCCAGGAGAGATTTGCCTTCCCCTTTGGGCCAAGAGTTCTGCTCTCGGGGATTCCCGTGAGGCCTTTCGGTCCCTCTTCGACGCAGGAGGAAAGATAGTGAACTCAAGAGACTAGGACTCAGTGAAGCTGTGGTTCAAATGCTAGGCAAGATTCCACCTGAACCTAAGGAAGAACTTCCTGACGGTTCAACAGTGGAACTCTCTGCCTCAGAGTCCATTAGAGGCTTTCAGCAGAGCCTAGATGCCCACCTGCTGGGAGGGCTTTGATAGTGCTTTTCCTGCATGAAGGCAGAAAGAAGAGGGTTGGATTGGATGGCCTTTGAGGTCTTTTCCAACTCTTACGTGTCTGTGACCTCGTCCCTTCAATACAGTGGGTCCCCTTGGTCTGAGGGGCCTCCAGTTCCTCCTTGTTCATCCGTTTCATTCATCCATTCAGATGTTCCGGGGACAGGTACAATCTCCCGCCCATTGGCCAAAACAGGACTCCTCAAGCTTTTCAAGGTGAGGGCCGGTCCCTCAGGTTCACGATCCCACTGGCTGTTGGGAGGCCGGACTGTAGTTTGAAACCAACATGAACACATGCACTGCGAGTAAGATGCATGCACATTGGTGTATCTTACTCGTAGTGCAAAAAACATGAAAGAACAATGTGATCCTTAAAGGAAGAACCCTTTTAATCCAACCTAGATGGATCAATGTTTCGATGGGAAGTGTGGCCCTGCTTTGAGATAGTCAAGTTGATTAGGATTCTTGTTGAGGTCCTTCAAAAGGTTTCAGGGCGAACCTCACACTGAGGGTTTAGGGCCAGCTTAATGCCCTCTGAAAGCCGTATCTGGACCGCGGGCCGGTGTTTGGGGACTCTTGTGCTGAAACCTGGAAACGGAGTAGCCTGGGTTGCAAACTCCTTTATGGAGTGCCACCAGCCTGAGGCACCTTCTCTCTCTTGGCTGGAGAGGAGTGGAACCTTTCTGTGGGGACTGGTGGCTCTGTTGGTGGAGCCTCTGCTTTTCTTGACTGGAGCAAGACTGGCTGGGCCTCCTTGTTTTCCTCAACCCAGAAGACAGGGACGTGGTGCAGTGTCTTGGGACAGGTTGTCCTGTGGTTGCCTGAGTTTCTTACGAACGCAGAGACGTTTTGGCCGAGCCTGGCCTGGCAGCAAAGCCTCGGAACAGAACAGGTCCAGGCTTGACCCCGGGTCAGTCTGCGGGGAACGGACCAGGGCAGTCAGAGTCCCAAAGCCACTTGGGAACAGCGACAACAGAACCAGCAGGAGCCCGTTCCCAATCTGCCTCTTGGCAGGCCGCCTTCCCAGCTCACTCCCTCCTTCCCTCCCTCCATCCCCGTTGCTCCTTGATCGCACTGATGCGTGGTGCTTGATCCTTGAACTCTCTGCGCCACATAGTGAGTTCACTTATCTCCAGCAATAAACAACCACCTCCAGGATAAATAGCCCAGAACCTTGCCGTCCTGGAAGCAGCAGACGGAGCAGCGGGCAGCAGAAGAACTGGTAAGGAGACCTGCTGGGGCTTTGCCCAACTTTGCTCTCTTTCTCCATCCTTCCTCTTCTTGTTTCCACACTTCTTGCTTTGGTTGAGGCTCTCTACCTTTCTTCTCCTTGAAGCTGTGGACCGTGCTCTGAGCCATGGAAGAGCCCAAGGGAGGGTTCTCCAAGCAGAGATGAGCTGCTCAATCTCAGCAGCTTTGCACCTTGGCTGTTGTATTGCTGGCAGCTCTGAAGGCCAAGGGAACCTAGTCTCTGGTCTGATTGAAGGTGGCAATCTTGAGGCTCTTCTTCACCTTGGCCGTTGCATTACTGGCAGCTCTGAAGGCCAAGAGAACCTTGTCTCTGTGTCTGATCCAAGGTGGCGATCTTGGGATTCTTCTTCAGAGATGAGCTGCTCAATCTCAGCAGCTTTGCATCTTGGCCATTGCACTGCTGGCAGCTCTGAAGGCCAAGAGAACCTAGTCTCCGGTCTGATCCAAGGTGGCGATCTTGGGATTCTTCGGAGATGAGCTGCTCAATCTCAGCAGCTTTGCACCTTGGCTATTGCATTGCTGGCAGCCCTGAAGGCCAAGAGAACCTAGTCTCTGGTCTGATTGAAGGTGGCAATCTTGGGGCTCTTCTTCAGAGATGAGCTGCTCAATCTCAGCAGCTTTGCATCTTGACTGTTGCATTGCTGACAGCCCTAAAGGCCAAGAGAACTTAGTCTCTGGTCTGATCGAAGGTGGAGATCTTGAGGCTTTTCTTCAGATATGAGCTGCTCAATCTCAGCAGCTTTGCACCTTGGCCGTTGCATTGCTGGCAACCTTGAAGGGCAAGACAACCTAGTCTCTGGTCTGATCTGAGGTGGTGATCTTGGAGTTCTTCAGAGATGAGCTGTTCAATCTCAGCAGCTCCGCACCTTGACTGTTTCATTGCTGGCAGCCCTAAGGCCAAGAAAACCTGGTCTCTGGTCTGATTGAAGGTGGCGATCTTGGGGTTCTTCTTCACAGTCACAATGGTTTGGCCCATTTGGACCATTCCTAGTGCATGGCCAGATGCCTTTGGAAGCTCTGGAGAAGGACAGCAGTGGTCCCTCCTTGCTTGCCACTCAGTTTCCATAGTTAGCAGGCACGGGCAAACTTCAGCCCTCCAGGTGTTTTGGACTCCAACTCCGGCGGAGGGGGAAAAGGAAAGGGCCTGAGGCTGTTAGGAAAGATGGGAGTTGGAGTCCAAAACACCTGGAAGGAAGGTCAAAGTTTGCCCATGGCTGGTTTTGTGGAGTTGGTTCTCCCCAAAGGTTCTGAATCCTCACTTTTAATTGTGGGGCTGGGCAGCTTGGAAAGCCTTTCCTAGCCTTTCTGTTGACTCTTCTGTAGACGTCTTGCACTCAACTGCTTCTCCACTCCTCCTCCTCCAGGCTGGAGCATTTGGCAAGATGAGAGCTGTCACCGTCACCCTCCTCCTGGTGTTCCTCGCCGGTAAGTAGCAGACAGGACCTCCCGTTTTTGTGGTCCCCTGATACTCCCAGTCCCTGGCCCAAGGAAGACCCCTCTGACTGTGCTGCCATTGCCCTCTCCCCCCAGGAACCCAGGCTCGGCACTTCTGGCAGCACGATGAGCCCCAACATACACCCCTGGAGAACCTCCAAAACGCCGTCCACCTCTACATGGAAACGGCAAAAGCCGGAGCCCACGAAATCCTGACCCAGTTCGATGCCTCCACCCTCGGCAAGCAGCTTGAGTGAGTAACCTACTTGGGGAAACCTCTCTGTCTTGGGGGTGTTTTTTTTTCCCTTGGGGGCACCATATGTATGTTGAGGGATCAACAAGGCTGCATTGGCACAGGTTGTCCCCTCTACTGTGGGCATCCTCCCAGAACCGGAGCTCTCCTAAACCTGTCAGCTGCTCCTAGCACTCCTTTGGAGATCCTCCCTGGATTTTTGCAAGGATGGGAGAGATGTTTATGCAAGTCACCTTTGCTCCCCTTCGAAAGAGGATTGTTATCTTGAAGCTCAAAGGCCCGTTCAGAAGGTGCAAACATCCACCAAACTCCCATTACAAGCTGAAGCTGGCCAAAGATGGGCTGGTTCTCCTGCTGTTGTCCCACTGTTACAGACTTGGAGGTGTTCATTTTGGGATAGTGTGTCCGAAATAGCCAAACGCAGCCTAGCTCCACAGCCTTCCCTGACCCACTCACCCCTTTTCTGCAACCTGAAGCTGAAGGAGAAGCTGGTCAAAGATGAGCTGGTTCTCCTGCTGTTGTCCCACTGTTACAAACTTGGAGGTGTTAGTTTTGGGATAGCGTGTCAGGGAACTCCCTTCCGAAATAGTCGAACGCAGCCTAGCTCCACAGCTTACCCTTTTCTGCAGCCTGAAGGTGAAGGAAAAGCTGGCCAAAGATGGGCTGCTTCTCCTGCTGTTGTCCTGCATTACAAACTTGGAGGTGTTCATTTTGGGATAGTGTGTCATGGAATATCCAAACACAGCCTAGCTCCACAGCCATCCCTGACCCACTCCTATCTCTTTTCTGCAGCCTGAAGGTGAAGGAGAAGCTGGTCAAACATGGGCTGGTTCTTCTGCTATTGTCGCATTGTTAACAGACTTGGAGGTGTTCATTTTGGGATAGTGTGTCAGGGAATATCCAAACACAGCCTAGCTCCACAGCCTTCCCTGACCCACTCGCCCAACTCTTTTCTGCAGCCTGAAGGTGAAGCTGGCCAAAGATGGGCTGCTTCTCCTGCTGTTGTCCCACTGTTACAGACTTGGAGGTGTTCGTTTTGGGATAGCGTGTCAGGGAACTCCCTTCCGAAATAGCTGAACGCAGCCTAGCTCCACAGCTTACCCTGATCCGCTCACCCTTCCCTTTTCTGCAGCCTGAAGGTGAAGGAGAAGCTGGCCCAAGATGAGCTGGTTCTCCTGCTCTCGTCCCACTGTTACAAACTTGGAGGTGTTAGTTTGGGATAGTGTGTCAGGGAATATCCAAGCACAGCCTAGCCCCACAGCCTCCCCTGACCCACTTTCCCTTCCCTTTTCTGCAGCCTGAAGGTTGCCGAGAACTACGATACGCTGAGTGCGGCCGTCACCAAGTTCCGCGAGGACCTCTCCCCGCAGATCGAGGCCCTGAAGACCAAGGTCAACGCCGACTTGGAGACCCTGCGGCAGGAGCTGGGCAAGGACCTGGAGGAGGTCAAGGCCAAGATCCAGCCCTACGTGGAGGACTTTGGCAAGAAGCTGAAGCAGGAGTCGGACGCCTACCAGGCTCGCCTGCAGCCCATCGGCGAGGAGATGCGCCAGCTGGCCCAGCAGAACCTGGAGAAGGCCCAGGAGAAGCTGCGACCCATCGCCGAAGAGGCTCGGGACAAGTTCCGCACGCTGGTGGACGAGCTGCGCCAGAGGATCATCCCGCACAGCGAGGAGATGCGGCAGAAGCTGGCCGAGAAGGTGGCCTCCATCCGGGAGCGCGGCCTGCCCGAGGTCGGCCAGTACCAGGCCCGCGTCCAGCAGCACCTCAGCACCTTCCGGGAGAACGTGGCCCCCATGGTGGAGAAGCTGCGGGAGGAGCTGGCCCCCGTGGCACAGGCCCTCCGGACCCGCATGACCGAGGTACTGACCCTGCTCCAGAAGACCCTGCAAGAGGCCACCCAGCAGCAGGAGCAGCAGCAACAGTCCTAAGGGACCACCCCGGCCCCGATACCCCTCTCCCTCCCGCCCTTCCTTCCTCTTGGAAGTCCACAGCTGCAACGGGGAGCAAAGAAATGGGTCGGGACCAGCTCCTTTTCCATCCAAGCCAAGCGTGGAGCTGGAAATGACAGTGTGTGTGCTTCTCTGGTGCAAGACCTCTCCCCATTTCTTACTTCTGTGTCCAAGCATAATAAAAAAAGTAAAGGAGGTTGTGCCGTCTGAGCTTTGCCGAGTGTCTGCTTCTTGGGGATGAGGGGTTTCTGAGATCAATGGGGCCATGTCTGCTAGACCCATGGGAGATGGGAGGGGTCTGCTTCTTGGGGACGAGGGGTTTCTGGGAGGTTCAATGGGGCCATGTCTGCTAGACCCATGGGAGATGGGAGGGGTCTGCTTCTTGGGGACGAGGGGTTTCTGGGAGGTTCAATGGGGCCATGTCTGCTAGACCCATGGGAGATGGGAGGGGTCTGCTTCTTGGGGACGAGGGGTTTCTGGGAGGTTCAATGGGGCCATGTCTGCTAGACCCATGGGAGATGGGAGGGGTCTGCTTCTTGGGGACGAGGGATTTCTGGGAGATGCAGTGGGGCCATGCCTGCCAGACCCGTGGGAAATGGGAGGGGTCTGCTTCTTGGGGACGAGGGGTTTCTGGGAGATTCAATGGGGCTATGTCTGCTAGACCCATGGGAGATGGGGTCTGTTTCTTGGGGACGAGGGGTTTCTGGGAGGTTCAATGGGGCCACGCCTGCTAGACCCATGGGAAATGGGAGGGGTCTGCTTCTTGGGGACGAGGGATTTCTGGGAGATGCAGTGGGGCCATGCCTGCCAGACCCATGGGAAATGGGAGGGGTCTGCTTCTTGGGGACGAGGGATTTCTGGGAGATGCAGTGGGGCCATGCCTGCCAGACCCGTGGGAAATGGGAGGGGTCTGCTTCTTGGGGACGAGGGGTTTCTGGGAGATTCAATGGGGCTATGTCTGCTAGACCCATGGGAAATGGGAGGGGTCTGCTTCTTGGGGACGAGGGGTTTCTGGGAGATTCAATGGGGCCATGTCTGCTAGACCCATGGGAGATGGGAGGGGTCTGCTTCTTGGGGACGAGGGGTTTCTGGGAGATGCAGTGGGGCCATGTCTGCTAGACCCATGGGAGATGGGAAGGGTTGTGTCTCTTTCGGCAGGTGGGGAAGCTCTCAAGCCCTAGGAAGGCAAGAGTTGGGCAGGGAGGACGTTGTCCTTCTCAATACCATCTGGAGGGCAGTGGGGCCAAGCCCTGGGAGAATTGTGGTGACCAGTGGGATCTCCCAGGACCATCTAGTCCAGTGATGGGCAAACTTTTGAGCTTGTTGTGTCAAAATTTGCTAAAAAACCTGAGCATAACTTGGGTGGGGTGTCAACTTCGAGAAAAAATAAACGTAATTTTGCAATATTTATAGTTTAAATAAGAAAAATGTATATTCCATGCTGAGTTATGGAGTGAACAATGCTCAAACATGCAGATGTTAAATTTGTAGAGCCTTTTACAAATTTAAGGATGGAATTAGATTGGCTCTTATAAGGTGTACTTCTCTGTATGCGGCCGCATGTGGCCGCGTGTCATCAAAAATAGCCATGTGTGTCAGTGCTGACACGCATGTCATAGGTTCACCATCATGGTCTAGTCCAACCCTTTTCCCATGCAGTGGACGGCAGCTAGGCATCGGAAGTTGTGTTGTGTTTCCTTTCATCGGAAGCTTCTGACTTGTGTTCAGAGGCTTCTGATGAAAGGGAACCCACCGCCTTGGTCACGTCCATTGTACTGTTGTATTGTATTGTATTACTTCCATTGTATTGTTGAAGGCTTTCATGGCCGGAATCACTGGGTTGTTGTAGGTTTTTCCGGGCTATATGGCCATGTTCTAGAGGCATTCTCTCCTGATGTTTCGCTGCATCTATGGCATCACTACCTCTGAGAATGCCTGCCATAGATGCAGGCGAAACGTCAGGAGAGAATGCCTCTAGGACATGGCCATATAGCCCAGAAAAACCTACAACAGCCCATCACTTCCATTGTCAACATTGCCTTCCATTGAGGCAGAAGGGGAGCCTCTGTCAACCAGTCTCACCAAATGGGGTTCACAGCTGAGCAGAGAGGAGAAGAGGGGGTCCCGGTCCATCATCCAAAGCTTAGCAGAGTTGGAAGGGATAGACCTCAAGGGCCATCCAGCCATGCCCCTTTCTCCCAGGAAGGACACCATCCAAGCCCTCCCAAGAGATGGGCATCCAGACAAAGCTGCTTTCTCCCACCTTGGACATTATTCCACAGGTATAGATACCCCTCCCATGCTCTGCAACCTTTGCTCAGCAGGATGGAGTGGAGAGAGGAGGGCTCCACATCTCACCCCTTTTGGAGACACTATGACAGACAAGGTCAAACTTCAGCCCTCCAGGTGTTTTGGACTCCAACTCCCACAATTCCCAACAACACAGAAAAACACAGCAGAAGGGACTTAAAAAGCAAAAAAAAAATTTACATTACAACACACGCACAAAAATCACATATATACACAAAGACACATACATACACATGCAAAACACACATAGGTTGTTACGAATTGTGGGAGTTGAAGTCCAAACTCCTGGAGGGAGGTCCAAAGTTGGCCCGTGCCTGCACTAAAGCAAGACTAATGCACTCTAGGCCCCTTCTGATGTGTATGGTGGGTTTGCAGCAAGAGACAGGGCCTCAACAATGCGTGGAACGGGACGGATAGTGTGTGTGTGTGTGTGTGTGTGTGTATACATATCTATATAAATAAAAATGTAATGTTTGTTTGTGGGATTAACAGAACTCAAAAACCACTGGACACAAGACACCAAATTTGGACACAAGACACCTAACAACCCAATGTATGTCCTTCACTTGATTTTGTCATTTGGGAGTTGCAGTTGCTGGGATTTATAGTTCACCGACAATCAAAGAGCGTTCTGAACCCCACCAACGATGGAATTGAACCAAACTTGCACACAGTTCTCCCATGACCAACAGAAAATACTGGAAGGGTTTGGTGGGCAGTGTCCTTTGGTTTTGGAGTTGTAGTTCACCTTTGTCCACAGATCACTGTGGACTCAAACAATGATGGATCTGGACCAAACTCTACACGAATACTCAATATGCCCAAATGTGAACACTGGTGGAGTTTGGGGAAAATAGAATCTTGACATTTGGGAGTTGTAGTCCCTGGGATTTATAGTCCACCTACAATCGAAAAGCATTCTGAACCCCACCAGTGATAGAATTGGGGCACAGAACCCCCATGACCACCAGAGTGGGCCACAGCAATGCATGGCAGGGGATGGCTTATATATAGGCAAAATAGGCAAGTGGGGTTTGTCTGTCTGTCTATCTATCTATCTATCTATCTATCTATCTATCTATCTATCTATCTATCTATCTATAGGCAAGTGGGGTTTATATATATATAACTAGGCAAGTGGGGTTTGTCTATATATAGAGAGACAAACCCCATTTGCCTAGTTTCCAACAAACCCTACAACCTCTCAGAATGCCTGGCCTAGATGCAGGTGAAACGTCAGGAGAGAATGCTTCTGGAACATAGCCAGGCAGCCTGGAAAACTCACAGCAACCCTGTCATTCCGGCCAGGAAAGCCGTCCACAACACATCCCAAAGGTCATCCCCAGGCTCTCCCCAACCCTCCCTTCCTGGCCAACCAATTTGATATCCCAAATCTAGGGCTGAGCTTGTTTTTGGCCTTGGCCCAGTGGTCAGAGGCCGGATCCAGAGCCCAGATTGCAACGGTGGTTGGTAGGGGAGACGCCTTAGAATCATAGAATCCTAGAGTTGGAAGAGACCTCCTGGGCCATCCAATCCAGCCCCATTGTGCCAAGAAGCAGGAAAATTGGATTCAAATCACCCCCGACAGATGGCCATCCAGCCTCTGTTTTAAAGCCTCCAAAGAAGGAGCCTCTACCACACTCCGGGGCAGAGAGTTCCACTGCTGAACAGCTCTCACAGTCAGGATGGTGCCAACAACCCCCTTCTTTCCCCTTGCAGTCGAAGCCGTTTCCTGAGCCGATCTATGTTCCCTTTGTCCCTTGAGGATTGCCCTCGATCCCTGGATGATGCTAAAGTAGGTATGGGCCAACTTTGGCTCTCCCTCCAGGTGTTTGGACTTCAACTCCCACAATTCGTAACAGCCCATACCCGCTGTTACGAATTGTGGGAGTTGAAGCCAAACACCTGGAGGGAGAGCCAAGTTGGCCCATGCCTGCACTAAGCAAGACTAATGCACTCTAGGCCCCTTCTGATGTGTGTTGGTGTGTTCGCAGCAAGAGATTCACACGTGCAGAGTGTCGGCAAGGTTTAATGAAGGGCGATGGGTCACATCAGGGCAAGGTGCATTCAGAGGAGAGGAAAGAAGGAAGGAAAGAAGGGAGGAAGGGGTTGGGGAGAGAGGGGGAAGCAGTCACAGAGACCCCGGGCTCTTCAGGTCCTTATGCGCCGGCCGTGGTCTTCTCCCAGAGCGTGGACAGCTGGTCCTTCAACTGGCCAAAGTATTGCTGCGTTTGGGCCAAGCTGGCCTGCAGCCAATCCCTAGGCAGATACAAGCAGGAAAGTGGGAATGAGAACTGGGAATGTGTGTATATATATATATATATATGCATGCATGCACTTTTTTTTTTGGAAGCAAAGATGTATGCAATTTTGAATAGCATGCTAATAGACTATTTCACTCGGTGCAACCCATGGCATTCTATCTCTCCAAGAATGGACCTGAAGCTCCTTCTGCTGGTTTCCATCTAAAGGTGCATCTCCTGTGTGGAATTCATGCTCAGTGCTGCAGGATCCTGGGAGTTGTAGTTTTCCAAACCCCATCGCCTTCCCTAGATGCAAATACACTGCAAAATGAATGCGGTTTGACGTCACTTCAACTCCCGTGGCTCAGCTACAGGATCCTGAGAGTTGTGGTTTTGCAAAATTCAATGCCTTTCTCTAGGTGCGTCTACACTATTGAATGAGTGCAGTTTGGCACCACTTCAATTCCCATGGCTACATGCTACGAGATACTGGGACTTGCAGTTTGCCCTTCTCTAGATGCAAATACACTGCAAAATGAATGTGGTTTGGCATCACTTCAACTCCCTTGGCTCAGCTACAGGATCCTGGGAGTTGCAGTTTTCCAAACTCCATTCCCTTCCCTAGATGCAAATGCACTGCAAAATGAATGTGGTTTGGCGTCACTTCAACTCCCATGGCTCCATGCTACGGGATCCTGGGAGTTGTGGTTTTCCAAAGTCCAGAGCCTTCTCTAGATGCAAATACACTGCAAAATGAATGTGGTTTGGTGTCACTTCAACTCCCATGGCTCAGCTACAGGATCCTGGGAGTTGTGGTTTTGCAAAGTCCATGCCCTTCTCTGGATGCATCTACACTATCGAACGAGTGCAGTTTAGCACCACTTCAGTTCCCATGACTTAGCTACGGGCTCCTGGGAGTTGTGGTTTTGCAAAGCCCATGCCTTTCTCTAGGTGCATCTACACTATCAAATGAATGCGTTTGGCACCACTTCAACTCCCATGGCTCCATGCTACGAGATACTGGGACTTGCAGTTTGCCCTTCTCTACATGCAAATGCACTGCAAAATGAATGTCGTTTGGCATCACTTCAACTCCCATGGCTCAGCTACCAGATCCTGGGAGTTGTGGTTTTGCAAAGTCCATGCCTTCTCTAAGTGCATCTACACTATCGAATGAATGCAGTTTAGCACCACTTCAGTTCCCATGACTTAGCTACGGGCTCCTGGGAGTTGTGGTTTTCTAAACTCCATTCCCTTCTCTAGGTGCACCTACACTATTGAATGAATGCAGTTTGGCACCGCTTCAGCTCCCATGGCTCCATGCTACGAGATACTGGGACTTGCAGTTTGCCCTTCTCTACATGCAGATGCACTGCAAAATGAATGTGGTTTGGCATCACTTCAACTCCCATGGCTCAGCTACCAGATCCTGGGAGTTGTGGTTTTGCAAAGTCAATGCACCCTTCTCTAGGTGCATTTACACTATCAAATGAATATAGTTTGGCACCACTTTAACTACCATGACTCCATTCTACGGGATCCTGGGAGTTACAGTTTTCCAAAGTCCATAGCCTTCTCTAGATGCAAATACACTGGAAAATGAATGTGGTTTGGCATCACTTCAACTCCCATGGCTCAGTTACAGGATCCTGGGAGTTGTGGTTTTGCAAAGTCCATGCCCTTCTCTAGATGCATTTACACTATCAAATGAATACAGTTTGGCACCACTTTGATTACCATGACTCCATGCTACAGGATCCTGGGAGTTGCAGTTTTCCAAATCCCATCCCCTTGCCTAGATGCAAATACACTGGAAAATGAATGTGGTTTGGCATCACTTTAACTCCCATGACCCTAAGCTATGGGATACTGGGAGTTGCAGTTTTCCAAACTCCATCTCCTTCCCTAAATGCAAATAACACTGGAAAATGAATGTGGTTTGGCATCACTTCAACTCCCATTTCTCAGCTATGGGATCCTGGGAGTTGTGGTTTTGCAAAGTCCATGCCCTTCAGTAGGTGCATCTACACTATCAAATGAATGCAATTTGGAGTTTGGCACCACTTTAACTACCATGACTCCATGCTACGAGATACTGGGTACTGTCGCTTTCCAAAGTCCATAGCTTTCTTTTGGTGCATCTACACTGCAGAATGAATGCGGTTTGGCACCACTTTCTATGCTTTAGATCAAACAGGGAAGGGTTCACGTCTCTTTGGTGTTTCCTTTGCTCTCTGTGCCCCTGTTTAGGATATTCCACCTCGCTTTCTGTGCCTGTGGGATGAGGATTTTGGAAAACATGGCTTGTTGTGGAAGGAATGATTGGAGATACAGCTTCCTTGAAGGCACCAATGCATTGCCTTTTTAAAGGGAGCAGAGTGGGATGGGCACCCAAATGTTTTGGGGCAGCGGCAGGAACCCCACCTCGGCCTTTTGGGGGGTGTTTCAGGCGGGAAGGGTGTTGGAGCATGCAAGGAATCAGTGTGTGTGTGTCAACTGTAAAATAAGATGCATGAAGTTGATTGGTTGGGCAATGCTTGGGGAGCAAGCTGAACCTGGGACTTTTGTTTACTGTCACATTTTTGTTCAGGCTTGAGCTATGCAATTGCAGAGAGAAGCAGGGGGGGAGGGTGTTGGAGCATGCAAGGAATCAGTGTGTGTGTGTCAACTGTAAAATAAGATGCATGAAGTTGATTGGTCGGGCAATGTTTGGGGAGCAAGCTGAGCCTGGGACTTTTGTTTACTGTCACATTTTTGTTCAGGCTTGAGCTATGCAATTGCAGAGAGAAGCAGAGAGGGGGAGAGACTGTTGGAGCATGCAAGAAATCTCTGTGTGTGTGTGTGTGTGTGTGTGTCAACTGTAAAATAAGATGCATGAAGCTGATTGGTCGGGCAATGTTTGGGGAGCAAGCTGAGCCTGGGACTTTTGTTTACTGACACATTTTTGTTCAGGCTTGAGCTATGCAATTGCAGAGAGAAGCGGGGGGGGGGGGGTGTTGGAGCATGCAAGAAATCTCTGTGTGTGTGTGTGTGTGTGTCAACTGTAAAATAAGATGCATGAAGCTGATTGGTCGGGCAATGTTTGGGGAGCAAGCTGAGCCTGGGACTTTTGTTTACTGTCACATTTTTGTTCAGGCTTGAGCTATGCAATTGCAGAGAGAAGCAGAGAGGGGGAGAGACTGTTGGAGCATGCAAGAAATCTCTGTGTGTGTGTGTGTGTGTGTCAACTGTAAAATAAGATGCATGAAGCTGATTGGTCGGGGCAATGCCTGGGGAGCAAGGCTGAGCCTGGGACTTTGTTTACTGTTACATTTTTGTTCAGGCTTGAGCTATGCAATTGCAAAGAGAAGCGGGGGGGGGAGGGTGTTGGAGCATGCAAGAAATCTGTGTTTGTGTGTGTTAACTGTAAAATAAGATGCATGAAGCTGATTGGTCGGGCAATGTTTGGGGAGCAAGCTGAGCCTGGGGCTTTTGTTTACTGTTACATTTTTGTTCAGGCTTGAGCTATGCAATTGCAGAGAGAAGCAGAGAGGGAGAGACTGTTGGAGCATGCTAGTGTGTGTGTGTGTGTGTGTCAACTGTAAAATAAGATGCATGAAGCTGATTGGTCGGGCAATGTTTGGGGAGCAAGCTGAGCCTGGGGCTTTTGTTTACTGTTACATTTTTGTTCAGGCTTGAGCTATGCAATTGCAGAGAGGGGGGGGGGAGGGTGTTGGAGCATGCAAGAAATCTGTGTTTGTGTGTGTTAACTGTAAAATAAGATGCATGAAGCTGATTGGTCGGGCAATGGTTGGGGAACAAGCTGAGCCTGGGGCTTTTGTTTACTGTTACATTTTTGTTCAGGCTTGAGTTATGCAATTGCAGAGAGAAGCGGGGGGGGAGACTGTTGGAGCATGCAAGGAATCAGTGAGTGTGTATGTGTGTGTGTCAACTGTAAAATAAAATGCATGAAGCTGATTGGTTGGGCAATGCTTGGGGAGCAAGCTGAGCCTGGGACTTTTGTTTACTGTCACATTTTTGTTCAGGCTTGAGCTATGCAATTGCAAAGAGAAGCGGGGGGGGAGGGTGTTGGAGCATGCAAGAAATCTGTGTTTGTGTGTGTGAACTGTAAAATAAGATGCATGAAGCTGATTGGTCGGGCAATGGTTGGGGAACAAGCTGAGCCTGGGGCTTTTGTTTACTGTTACATTTTTGTTCAGGCTTGAGTTATGCAATTGCAGAGAGAAGCGGGGGGGGGGAGACTGTTGGAGCATGCAAGGAATCAGTGAGTGTGTATGTGTGTGTGTCAACTGTAAAATAAAATGCATGAAGCTGATTGGTCGGGCAATGCTTGGGGAGCAAGCTGAGCCTGGGACTTTCATTTACTGTCACATTTTTGTTCAGGCTTGAGCTATGCAATTGCAGAGAGAAGCAGAGAGAGACAGAGTTTGGAGTGTGCGCTCGCTTCTTGAGATGCTGGACGAAGAAAGACTATTTTAAATCTCTCTTAAAAGGACATTTAGTGAGTTGAGGCAACCGATCACGTTGTACATACGTTGTTCTGAGCGACGAAGAGTAAACTACTTGTTCTTTACTGTGTGGCGTATTTTCTTTCTCTAGCAAGGCAGTGTGTGGCCTGATCAAACGTGAACTCCATGTGGTTTATGTTACATGATGCCACAAAGGCCGCTCACCTGGCCTGCTGGGCGACTTGAGACTCCCGGAAGGTGTCCAGGTGCTCCTGGGCTTTCTGGGCCGTTTGCTGGACGTAGACCTGCACCTTCTCCACCAGAGACTCCTCCGCCGGTGCGTCGGCCCCTGAGCGGAGAGAGAGGAGAACCCGATGGAGAATGGAGGGGCCAAGGGGCCAACGTTGGCCAGCGTTCAGCCAAAACCAAACACGGTGGGAGACCCAAAGGATGTTAGGTTCTTGTGGGTTTTTTCGGGCTATAGGGCCATGTTCTAGAGGCATTTCTCCTGACGTTTCGCCTGCATCTATGGCAAGCATCCTCAGAGGTAGTGAGGTCTGTTGGAATTAGGACAATGGGTTTATATATCTGTGGAATGGCTGGGGTGGGGCAAAGAGCTCTTCTCTGCTGGAGCTAGGTGTGAATGTTTCAACTGACCACCCTCATTAGCATTTGAAGGCCTGGCTGAGCCTGGGAAAATCTTTTGTTGAGAGGTGTTAAGATGTGCCTGGTTGTTTCCTCTCTGCTGTTTTGCTGTTGTAATTTTAGAGTTTTTTAATACTGGTAGCCAGATTTTGTTCATTTTCATGGTTTCCTCCTTTCTGTTGAAATTGTCCACATGCTTCTTGTGGATTTCAATGGCTTCTCTGTTTGTCGTGTGATAAGGCAGTTGTGAGAGTGGATTTTGAAATCTTGTGGATTTCAATGGCTTCTCTGTGTAGCCTGACATGGTGGTTGTGAGAGTGGTCCAGCATTTCTGTGTTCTCAAATAATATGCTGTGTCCAGGCTGGTTCATCAACACCGCTCAGCAAGAGATTTTCCCAGGCTCAGCCAGGCCTTCAAATACTAATGAAGGTGGTCAGTTGAAACATTCACACCTAGCTCCAGCAGAGAAGAGCTCTTTGCCCCACCCCAGCCATTCCACAGATATATAAACCCATTGTCCTAATTCCAACAGACCTCACTACCTCTGAGGATGCTTGCCATAGATGCAGGCGAAACGTCAGGAGAAAATGCCTCTAGAACATGGCCATATAGCCCAAAAAAACCCACAAGAACCTAGTGATTCCAGCCATGAAAGCCTTCGACAATACACCAAAGGATGCTCTCTGGCCCAACTCCATCATTGGATGGATGCATCCCGGTCAAGAGGAGGTGATGGAGCTCTTCTGGGTTCTTAGCCTGACTCTTCCCAGATAGGGAACTCTTCTTGGACCTGGAACCCGAAGCAGATCCATCCATCCATCCATCCATCCATCCATCCCTTTAAGGTGGTGTTTCTCAACCTTCCTAATGCCTTGACCCTTAATGCAGTTCCTCATGTTGTGGTGACCCCCAACCATAACGTTGTTTTTGTTGCTACTTCACAAGTGTTATTTTGCTCCTGTTCTGAATCGTAATGTAAATATCTGATATTCACTGGACCAAATTTGGTATAAATACCAGATTTGAATACTGTTGGATTGTTTTTGTCATTTGGGAGTTGTAGTTGCTGGGATTTATAGTTCACCTACCACCAAACAGCATTCTGAACTCCACCAATGATGGAATTGAACCAAAGTTGGCACACAGAACTCCCATGACCAGAAAATACTGGAAGGGTTTGGCGGGCATTGATCTTGAGTTTGGGAGTTGTAGTTCACCTACATCCAGAGAGCACTGTGGACTCAAACAATGATGGATCTGAACCAAACTTGGCAGGAATACTTAATATGCCCAAATGTGAACACTGGTGGAGTTTGTGGGGGAAATAGACCTTGACATTTGGGAGTTGTAGTTGCTGGGATTTATAGTTCACTTACCACCGAAGAGCATTCTGAACTCCACCAGTGATGGAATTGAACCAGTATTGGCACACAGAACATGACTAACATAAAATACAGGAAGGGTTTGGTGGGCATTGATCTTGAGTTTGGGAGTTGTAGTTCACCTACATCCAGAGAGCACTGTAAACTCAGAGAATGATGGATCTGGACCAAACTTGGCATGGATACTCCATATGCCCAAATGTGAACACTGGTGGAGTGTGGGGAAAATAGACCTTGACATTTGGGAGTTGTAGTTACTGGGATTTCTAGTCTATATAAATAAAAATGCAATGTTTGTTTGATGACCAGAACTCAAAAACCACTGGACGAATTGACACCAAATTTGGACACAAGACACCTAACAACCCAATGTATGTCCTTCACTCAAAAAAATTGATTTCGTCATTTGGGAGTTGTAGTTGCTGGGATTTATAGTTCACCTACAATCAGAGAGCATTCTGAACCCCACCAACGATGGAATTGAACCAAATTTGGCACACAGGATTCCCATGATCAACAGAAAACACTTGAAGGGTTTGGTGGGCATTGATCTTGAGTTGGGAGTTGTAGTTCACTTCCATCCAGAGAGAGCTGTAAACTCAAACAATGATGGATCTGGACCAAACTCTCCATGGATACTCAGCATGCCCAAACGTGAACACTGGTGGAGTTTGGTGAAAATAGACCTTGACATTTGGGAGTTGTAGTTGCTGGGATTTATAGTTCACCTACAATCAAAGACTATTTTGAACCCCACCAACGATAAAATTGGGCCAAACTTCCCGCACAGAACCCCCATGACCAATAGAAAATACTGTGTTTTGTGATGGTCTCTGGCGACCCCTCTACCACTCCTTCATAACCCCCCCGGGGGTCGCGACCCCCAGGTTGAGAAATGCTGCTCTAAGGACTTGTGCTTCCCCCAAAGTGGCCCTGCTCTTCCAGGAAGAGATGGGGAAGAGGAAGAGCCTCTGTTTCCCCATTGTGCACCCCCTCTGTCACCGATCCCTAGATGTGTGGGCCCCGAACCCCGGTTCTTACGTGCGAAGGAGGCCACCAGCGCCAGGAGCACAAACAGCAGCAGGAGAGGGGCCTTCATGGCGTCGCTTGGCTGGACCTGCGCCAGAACGGAATCATCGATTAGGAGACTCAGACGGGAACCCCCAAGGTCATCCAGTCCAGCCCCCTTCTATCATTATGCAGGGAAAGCGCCATCAAAGCAACCTCCCAACGGATGGCCACTCAGCCCCTGCTTCAAAGCCTCCAAAGAAGGAGCTTCCACTATACTCTGAGGCAGAGAGTTCCACTGCTGAACAGCTCTTAAATTTGTGTTGTCGAAGGCTTTCATGGATGGAATCACTGGGTTGTTGTGCATTTTCCAGAATGTGTGGCCATGTTCTGGAAGCATTCTCTCCTGACATTTCACCCACATCTATGAGAGGCATCCTCAGAAGTTCTGAGATCTGCTGGAAACTAGACAAGCGAGGTTTATATATCTGTGGAATGATGTCCAGAGTGGGAGAAAGAACTCTTGTCTGTTGGAGGCAAGTGGGGATGTTGTAATGAATCACCTTGATTCATTACAACATTCCCACTTGCATCCAACAGACGAGAGTTGTAAAGCCTTATACCTTCAAAGCCTGGCTGCTTCCTGCCTGCGGGAATCCTTTGTTGGGAGGGGTTAGCTGGCCCTGATTGTTTCCTGTCGGGAATTCCCCAGTTTCATCCTCAAAGGTTCTGAGGTCTGCTGGAAAGTAGGCAAGTGAGGTTTATATGCCGGTGGAATAATGTCCAGGGTGGGAGGAAGAACTCTTGTCTGTTGGAGGCAAGTGGGAATGTTGTAATGAATCAACTTGATTCATTACAACATTCCCACTCGCATCCAACAGACGAGAGTTGTAAAGCCTTGTACCTTCAAAGCCTGGCTGCTTCCTGCCTGCGGGAATCCTTTGTTGGGAGGGGTTAGCTGGCCTTGATTGTTTCCTGTCTGGAATTCCCCAGTTTTTTTTAGTGTTGCTCTCTGCCTGCAGGAATCCTTTGTTGTGAGGTGTTAGCTGGCCTGGATTGTTTCCTGTCTGGAATTCCCCAGTTTTTTTTTTTAGTGTTGCTCTTTATTTACTGTGCTGATTTTGGAGTTTTTTTAAATATTGGGAGCTAGACTGTGTTCATTTTCATGGTTTCCTCCTTTCTGTTGAAACTGTCCACCTGCTTCTTGTAAATTTCAGTGGCTTCCTCTGTTTGTCATGTGATAAGGCAGTTGTGAGAGTGGCCCAGCATTGGTGTGTTCTCCAATAATCTGCTGTGTCCAGGTTGGTTCCTCAGGTTGGTTCATCAGATTCCCCAGGCAGGAAGCAGCCAGACCTTGAAACTGCTAGGCTATTAAATGCTCATCAAGGTGGCCAATGGCAACATTCCCACTTGCCTCCAGCAGACAAGAGTTGTTTCTCCCACCCTGGACATCATTCCACAGGGATATAAACCTCACAACCTCTAAGGATGCTGGGGCAAAACGTCAGGAGAGAATGCTTCTGGAATATGGCCAGACAGCCCGGAAAACTCACCGCAACCCAGATCTTGGAGTCCTCGTGGACAACAAGTTAAACATGAGCCAGGAATGTGATGTGGTGGCAAAAAAAGCCAATGGGAGCCTAGTGTCTAGATCCAGGAAGTCCTGCTCCCCATGCTCTATTCTGCCTTGGTTAGACCACTTTACCTGGAATATTGTGTCCAATTCTGGGCACCACAATTCAAGAGAGATATTGACAAGCTGGAATGTGTCCAGAGGAGGGCGACTAAAATGATCAAGGGTCTGGAGAACAAGCCCTATGAGGAGCGGCTTAAGGAGCTGGGCATGTTTAGCCTGAAGAAGAGAAGGCTGAGAGGAGATATGATGAGGGCCATGTATAAATATGTGAGAGGAAGCCACAGGGAGGAGGAGGAGGGAGCAAGCTTCCTTTCTGCTTCCCTGGAGACTAGGACGCAATGGCAATGGCTTCAAACTACAAGAGAGGAGATTCCATCTGAACATGAGGAAGAACTTCCTGACTGTGAGAGCCGTTCAGCAGTGGAACTCTCTGCCCCGAGAGTGTGGTGGAGGCTCCTTCTTTGGAGGCTTTGAAACAGAGGCTGGATGGCCATCTGTCAGGGGTGCTTTGAATGCAATATTCCTGCTTCTTGGCAGGGGGTTGGACTGGATGATGGCCCAGGAGGTCTCTTCCAACTCTTTGATTCCATGATTCTTGGCTCAGATGGAATCTCCTTTCCTGCCATTTGAACCCATGTCTCCATTGAGTCCCGGTCTCCAGGGCAGCGGAAAGAAAGCCCGACCCCCCTTCCTTGGGGCATCCTTTTGGAGATTGGGACATGGGGGCCGTGCCACTGGACGGACCAGGAGAAAAGTGACACAGGGGGTCTCGGAGGCCATCTAGTCCGGCCAACGGCCATGCCACGTCTCCCTGCCCTTTGGGCCCTTGACCCGTGTGACGGCTGGAGCGATAGAGAGGCATGACCTTTGGACCCAGCGTTCCAGGAGGGTGACACCATCGGGGATGACGCAAGGCATCCACTCCCACAGCCACCAGCTTTCCACAGCTACCCGCTAACATTTGCAAAAGAGGAACATATTTTTATCATTATCACCATCATCATCAACAACAACATTGTTCATAGGCAGAGTGGCCATCTGTCAGGAGGGCTTTGACTGAAGGTAATGGCGTAGCTTTTTCTCCAAGGGGCCTTTCGGTTCCTCCCACAAATGGTGCAACCACATCATTATAAAGCTGAGAACAACAAATCCCATCCCAAGACAGAATTGGCTCTTTTGCCCACATCTACCTGGAACATTTGCAAAATAGTCCCTTGCAACGCTTTTGACATGCTCAGAGATGTCTTCCCTATGCCCAAAGCCTGTCATGGGATGGACACGGTTGGTTGCCATTTCTTAAGTAGCTCAGTAGGATTGGATGCATGTGGTGAAGTGGTTGCACACCCCAGTTTGTTGTCTCCATCCCTGCTAATTACACACCTCAATATGTTTCTCAATGCTCCAAGTCCTGGAGACGAGTAGGCACTTCGTCACATGCATTAAAATTGGGTGCATGACGATGCCCTTCTTGCAATGACAAAGTTTTTGCCTTTTGCTAAAATTTCCCTATGTTTTTTTATGATAGAACTAATGAGGAATCAACATGTACAACCTGAGAACATCAACCCTTCTTCCAAGCTCAAATACACCACCAAAGCAGTCCTGACAGATGGCCATTCAGCCTCTGAATAAGAGTGATAATGACGAAATTCTGCTCCTGGTTTGAAAGTGCGGGTTCCCATTTCGTGCTGCAGTCCTGATTGTGAAAGTCATTGTTGACCTCCAGAAACTTCAATTTTGTGCTGCAAACTTTGCTAAATGGGTGCATGGCAATGTCCCTGGCAAGCATCCTCAGAGGTCTCACAGTCTCCGAGGGTGCTTGCCATAGATGCAGGCAAAACGTCAGGAGAGAATGCCTCTAGAACATGGCCATATAGCCCGGAAAAACCTACAACAACTTTCTCCTTGTTTTTACGACACAGCCAACCAGGAACGGACATTTATAACCTGGGAGCAAAGGCGCACCAGCTATGCGCATATCCACATCCACGCATTTAACTGCGGATGTCCCCGACACAGCCAACCAGGAACGGACATTTATAACTTGGGAGCAAAGGCGCACCAGCTATGCGCATATCCACATCCACGCATTTAACTGCGGATGTCCCGCAGCCATCTTGCAGGCTTCTAAAACCCGGGACAAAGCCATCTGTATGGACATCGGAGGCTGAAATCCCAGGATGTTTTGGTTTGTGTGTGGACTTGCTCTCAGGTCCTGGGATTTTTGCTCCTCTTAGACAACCCGCAATTTGGTGCTGTCTGGAAGTGCCCTGAAAAGTCACAATGTCCTATTTGGGGAGCGTCTCACCTCCGGCCTTGGATAGACTCCAAAACATTTGGAGAGGGGGAAAGGTATGCCCATGGTGGTCGTGGGAGACCCACCCATAAGAGTAGCCCCCCAAAAACCCTATTTGGTGAATTCCCCCCCTTTGCTCCCCCCCCCCCCCCCCCCAGACTCACCTGTTCCTTAATTCTGCCTGAGCCTCTGCCTGGACCCTCCTGCTCGGCCGGGCCCCTTTATACCCACCCCTCCCTCCTTCCCTCTCTCCTTCCCTCCGCCCCGTCCAGCACACTTTGGCCAAAGTTCGGCCGGATGGACAGTTGACCTGCAAACGGAGCAGAATTGGGTTGTGTCTCTTAGGTCGAGAGGCATTTATTTATTTATTTATTGTGGTGGAGGCTCCTTCTTTGGAGGCTTTTAAACAGAGGCTGGATGGCCATCTGTCAGGGTGCTTTGAATGCAATATTCCTGCTTCTTGGCAGAATGGGGTTGGACTGGATGGCCCATGAGGTCTCTTCCAACTCTAGGATTCTAGGATTCTACATGGGCCTGACTCGGGGGACAACATATATACAACATGCATTCAATGCCGGAACATAAATATAAATATACACAAACACTGAAATCAGTCTTCTCTACTTAAAATCAAATGTTTAAAGCCATCTTGAATCAGGCCAGGGTTTGGGTTGTTGCAGATTTTTCGTGTTCTAGAAGCATTCTCTCCTGATGTTTCACCTACATCTGCGGCAGGCATTCTCAATAGCAAACCCTAGGGTAGGGTTGCATATTGCTGCCTCATTGCACTGTCCCAAAAGCCAAGTTTTTAGCATCTGTCTGAAGGACGGGAGGGAGGGGCTGGTCTAATTTCCATAGCCGAGGAGCCACCACTGAGAAGGCCCCGTCTCTCATCCCTCCAGTCACTCTTGTGAGGGAGGTGGGACCGAGCAGGGCCTCCCCAGAAGATCTTAATCTCCACAATGGTTTATAGAGGGAGATGCATTTGGACAGGTAAACTTTTAACATCTTTCTGAAGGACGGGAGGGAGGGGCCGATCTAATTTCCATAGCCGGGGAGCCACCACTGAGAAGGCCCTGTCTCTCGTCCCCACCAATCACTCTTGTCAGGGAGGTGGGACCAAGAAGAGGGCCTCCCCAGAAGATCTTAATCTCCTCAATGGTTCGTAGAGGGAGATGTATTCGGACAGGTAAACTGGGCCGGGGTCATGTAGGGCTTGATAGGCCAAAGCCAGCACTTTGAATTGTGCTTGGTAGCAAACAGGCAGCCAGTGGAGCTATCGTAACATGAGAGTTGTGTACGCCCTATATGCCACCCCAGTTATTAACCTGGCTGCCTTTCATTGTACTATTTGAAGCTCCTGAACAGTCTTCAAGGGCAACTCCATGTAAAGTGCATTGCAGTAATCTATCCTGGATGTAATGAGAGTGTGGACTAACATGGCCAAAGCTGACTTCCCAAGGTACGGGTGCAATTGGTGCACAAGTTTTAATTGTGTAAATGCCCTCCTTGTCACCGTCAAAACTTGGGGTTCCAGGCTCAGCGACAAGTCCAGGATCACCCCCCAAGCTACAAACCTGTGCCTTCAGGGGGAGTGTAACCTCGTCCAGCGCAGGCTGTAACTCTATGCCCTGTTTGGCCTTGCGACTGACCAGGAGGACCTCTGCCTTTTCTGGTTACAACTTCAATTTGTTTGCCCTCATCCAGACTTCTCACATCTGCCAAGCACTGGTTCAAGACCTGGACAGCTTCCTTAGCATCTGGTGGAAAGGAGTGATAGAGTTGGATGTCATCTGCATACAGATGGCATCGGATTCCAAAACTCCGGATGATCTCACCCAGCAGCTTCATGTAGATGTTAAGCAACATGGAGGACAATACGGAGCCATGTGGGACACCACATGACAATGGCTGTGGGGCTGAGCAGAAGTCCCCCAGCAACACCTTCTTGGAATGACCCTCAAGGAAGGAGTGGAGCCACTGCAGAACAGGACCCGCAAGGCCCATCCTTGCGAGGTGACCCAGGAGGATACCATGGTCTACGGTACTGAAGGCCAATGAGAGGTCCATCAGAACCAGCAGGGACACGTTCCCCCGTCCTGCTCCCAGCGTAGATCATCCACTAAGGCAACCAAAGCTGTCTCACTTCCATGACTCAGCCGGAAACCAGTCTGGGACAGAGAAAATGCATCGAGAGAACAATAATCAAAAGCACAAAGAAATATACTAATATTCTTGCAAGGGTTGCAAAATGAACCATAGCCAAAGAAGAGAATAGCTTCATGGCACATTGCGCAAGGAAATTATATGTCTTCCCCAGCACACATCACAAACACCACACAGCCATCCCTCCACATTCTCATCACTATGGCACATCATAGAATCCTAGAATCCTAGAGTTGGAAGAGACCTCCTGGCCATCATCCAGTCCAACCCCATTCTGCCAAGAAGCAGGAATATTGCATTCAAAGCACCCCTGACAGATGGCCATCCAGCCTCTGTTTAAAAGCTTCCAAAGGAGGAGCCTCCACCACACTCCGGGGCAGAGAGTTCCACTGCTGAACGGCTCTCACAGTCAGGAAGTTCTTCCTCATGTTCAGATGGAATCTCCTCTCTTGTAGTTTGAAGCCATTGTTCCGCGTCCTAGTCTCCAGAAGCAGAAAACAAGCTTGCTCCCTCCTCCCTGTGGCTTCCTCTCACATATTTATACATGGCTATCATATCTCCTCTCAGCCTTCTCTTCTTCAGGCTAAACATGCCCAGCTCCTTAAGCCGCTCCTCATAGGGCTTGTTCTCCAGACCTTTTATCATTTTAGTCGCCCTCCTCTGGACACATTCCAGCTTGTCAATATCTCTCTTCAATTGTGGTGCCCAGAATTGGACACAATATTCCAGGTGTGGTCTAACCAAAGCAGAATGTCACATCAGTGGGAAACCACAGCTCTAGGATAGATCTAGCAGTCACTTTGTCCTTCTCTTTGTCGCCCTGTACCATCTGCCAGATAGCAATATGAAGGCATTGCAAGGAAAGCCTTTCTTCCCAGAGCTGGAGAAGGGAGAAAGTAGGTAGGTGGTGGTCCCAATGACACTCAAGCAACACCAGGTATAGGGTAGATTAGGACAGGACAGGATGTAATTAGCTTCCTTGTCATTGTACATTGTACAACAAAGTTACATTGTTGTTGTTGTTGTTGTTGTTGTTAGATACATAACAAGATTAGTCCACAAGATCTCTCTGCTGGCTGTTGTATTGGATCCAACATTGGACCCTCCCCACATCTATGGCAGGCAAACTCAGAAGTTGTGAGGTCTGTTGGAAACTAGGAAAATTGGGTTTATATATATACTGTGTGATGTATTGGCGAATAATGTGTATAGTTCCTAATAGGGTGGCCTTTTGCAGCAGACAGGTGGTCATAGAATCCTAGAGTTGGAAGAGACCTCATGGGCCATCCAGTCCAACATGAATTTGTCAGTGCCGATTGTTTTAAGTGCAGGCCAAGGTCTTTAGGCACTGCACCCAGTCTGCCGATTACCACTGGAACCACCTTGACTGGTTTGTGCCAGAGTCTTTGCAGTTCGATGTTTACATCCTTGATTATTATTATTATAGTTGTTGTTGTGTTTGTTTGTACCCCGCTTTTTCTCTCCCCAAGCAGACCCAAAGAGGATGATGGCCTTTGCAGTCCTTTCCTGGTGACCGTTCTAGGACCTTTGGGGTTCCCAAAGAGGCGAAGCTCAAGGAAAATAACTTGGGTTTATGGCAGGCCATATGTTTTTCAGCCGAGGGAGGGAGGGAGGCTGCTTGACCTTTGATCCCTTTGGCCCTTGCTGGCCGCCCTTCGGCCCCAATGAGCGCCAAATCCGCCGGGCCTTGGACTTTGCGTCCCCCGATAAGGCTCCGTCCCAAACAGCAGAGTCAACAGGTTTGCTATTCTTCCGAAACCAAAGGAGATGCCAGGAAAGCTGCCTCGGCCCTTTTGTGTTTGCAAAGTGTGTGTGTGTGTGTGGGGGGGGGGGGGGGAAGCACTCTGCCCGTCCTCAGAGGCAGATCCCACATGGGTTCCCATTCCTTTGTGGGATGTTTGGGGTGACACTAGCAAGACAGAAATGATGAACAACAAGAACACTGTGACACCTGAGAAGAAGGCAACCTCCCTATGAAAACCCTTGTACAGAAATCAGCAATGATTTGAAGTCAAAGAGCAACAGCAATGATGCCGAGTCCCCATGATGATGATGATGATTATTATTATTATTATTACTATTACTATTAAATTTATTTATTTACACCCTGCTTTACCTCCCCAAAGGGGACTCAAAGCAGCTTGAGATAAAAGCATTAGCATGCAATAATATAGGAACAATAATATTATTGTTGTTATATATTATTGTTCCTATATTATTATTATTATTATTATTATTATTATTATTATTATTATATTTTGTTGAAGGCTTTCCTGGTTGGAATCAATGGGTTGTTGTCAGTTTTCCGGGCTGCCTGGCCATGTTCCCGAAGCATTCTGTCCTGACGTTTTGCCCACTTCTATGGCAGGCAAACTCAGAAGTTGTGAGGTCTGTTGGAGCCTTCAACAAAATATAATAATAATAATAATAATAATAATAATAATAATAATAATAATAATAATAATGAACCAACCTGGACACAGAGTATTATTGGAGAACACAGAAATTCTGGACCACTCTGATCACCATCATGTCAGGCTACACAGAGAAGCCACTGAAATCCACGTGAAGCACGTGAACAATGTCAACAGAAAGGAAGAAACCATGGAAATGAACACAATCCGGCTCCCAGTATTTAAAAACACACCAAAATCAGGACAGTAAACAAAGAAAAGAGGGGAATTCCAGACAGAAAACAAACAAACACAAATTGTGTGACGTGGTGTTATATAGTAGGCCTGTTTGATCAAGAAAAAATTTGTTTCTAAAATCGATTTGTAATTGGGGTGTTTTTTTGTTTCGATATTTAAAATAATTACAAAACTTTCCCAAAAAAAAGTTTTGGTATTTAAGAAATTTTGTAAATATTAACGAATTTTTAGAATATTTTTTGTATTATTAAAATAATATTAAAAATAATAATAAAATATTTTAAAATGGAAAATTAACCAAAAAATGGCCCAAATGTGGACCAAACACAGGCAGGATACAGCAAATGAGAGCACACACCAACAGAAGAGTCTTTTCTTTTTTAGAATATTTTTTAAAAAAATATTAAA